CTTAACTTAACCTAACTTAACCTTAACCTTAACCTTAACCTTAACCTTAACCTTAACCTTAACCTTAACCTTAACCTTAACCTTAACCTTAACTTAACCTTAACCTTAACCTAAACCTTAACTTAACCTTTAACCTTAACCTAACCTTAACTTAACCTTAACCTTAACCTTAACCTTAACCTTAACCTTAACCTAACCTAACCTAACCTTAACCTTAACCTTAACCTTAACCTTAACTTAACCTTTAACCTTAACCTTAACTGTAACCTTAACCTTAACTGTAAACCGACTCGAAACATACCTACGGTCGAAGAACTATGTGGTTCTTCCTACCGATAAGAACCTTGGAATATCGGTATGCGAGAGAGACTGGGTCGTCTCTAAAACCCAGGAGTTGTTAGACAATGCTCTGAACTACCGCCGGATATCGGTAGAAGAGAGAAAAGTCATCCTCCTCCAGACAGTGAAAGACGTGAATCAAGCCGGCATATTTGCAGCTACCTTTGGTATCGGCGGTTCACAGTTACCCGATTTTCTGGTATCTAAATGTCCTATCATGAAAGAAGGCGGCGAAGATTTCGAAACAGAGCCAGCTGTGCCGGTGTTCTATGGTATCCCAAAGATCCATAAAACTCCCACTAAAATGCGGCCAATTGTTCCATGTCACTCTTGTCCTCAAGCGCCCCTTGGTAAATATCTTTCCAAATGTCTGAAGCCAATGTTAAAAACGCATCCTTACATCCTTAAAGGGAGCAAGGAATTAGCATTGAGACTATCAAAAGTTACGTTATCTCGCTATAAAAAGTGCTGGATTGTGTCCGGTGACATAGTTGCCTACTACCCGTCTATACCACTACAGCCGTGCATAGATCTTATGATCCGTATGTGGAGAACGGCCAATCCCAATGCGACACCTGGCGAGCGCAATTTGTTCTTACGGGCTTTAAGACTTGCGAACGTACACCTTCTCTGTGACTTTAATGGACGTACATACGAACAGCTTCAGGGACTTGCTATGGGAGTTGCGTCTTCCCCAGATATAGCTAACCTGTATGGCGCCTACTATGAAGAGCAATGCCTTCCAGATGACCGCATTGCCTTCTACTGTAGGTACATCGATGACGTTCTGGCCCTCGTTTACGCTGATTCTGCGGAAGAAGCTTTGACGATCGCGGGCCGTATTAAAATTAAAGATGTCACAATAGAGTGGGAAGCTTCGGAATACAATACGGCATTCCTTGATATGACGGTATACATCGACCCGATCACCAGATCGGTCCAGCATATGCCATACCAGAAAAAGCTTAACCACCGTGAACGACTTCCATGGCTATCTCACCATCCGAAAGATATCAAGAAGGGTACCTTTATCGGAGAGATGTCACGCCTCGCGGTTCTATCTAGTCTTCCAGAACACTATGTAGATGCCATTAGGGGCCTTAAGGGCCTCTATATGGGCCGCGGTTATCCTGAGCGCGTGTTGGATGCTTGGGTAAAAGACAACCTAAGAACACGATGGGAAAATAGACTAGTGACTAAAGAACTAACACGAGACGTGTTTGTCTTGAAAACCGAGTTTAATCCTGCTTGGAGTCGTTTTAACGTCACTGAACTTGGTAGTATTATCACAACCACCTGGCTGGAACACGTGAATTTAATTCACGCCCAGCACACTACTGCGAAAGCTAGATCTGATGCACACCAGGCCTGGCTGAACGCCCGTGGTCTGGTCGAGGATCAGTTCATCGAAGCAGTAGATCGCGTAATTGCCGTACCCAGGCGTCGGCGGGCATCTGATGCCGCTGCGGTGGGAGCTATGGCCCCCGCATTACGTGGAGCCGAACGCGTTATTGATGACGCTGACGGGAACCAAGATGCCCCTGATGAGGGATTATTGGTGGAAGATCCCTATATGGCGCCCCAACGCTATGTAAACTACCCCCGGCTTGGTCCTAGTACTAGGCCGGTCGATTGGACCTTCTTTGATCCGACCCAACGCCTACCCGGCAGCCGAGCTATCGGTGGAAGGGTCTTTGATGTCAAAGTAGCTGGTCTTTGTGATAGACGCTTTATGGTATCACGTAAACGTACGAAGAATGTCTTCGACATCGTGTCCGTATGGCGAAAAGCGGTCCTGGCTACCTCGAACCATATGCCTGAAGATGAGCTTATGGCTGTCATTGACGCTATGGATCACATGGTCGATGAGTTTTGAGTGTTACGAGATTCAGAGCAATTATGCTGCTCAATGCTCTTTCAAGGGAGCAAACCCCTATCTCTAACGTTACCCTAACTCTAACCCTAACCACTAGCCCTAACCCGGCCAACCCTAATCTTAACCTGTGGTACCCGTCGGGCGGCTTCGGCTGTCCACAAACGGGTGGTGCTACAAGCTTTTGCTATGTCGCCACGTCTAAACAACGTATGTTCACTCGCTATTGATAGCAGAGTTGCTTAAACACCTTGGTCGCTACGGCGCCCCTTCGGGGTCGCCTTTCGCGCCCTGTACTTTGAGGTCCTTCTGACTTCGTACTTTACTCTAACGTTAAACTTTCTTACTCTTCGGTATGGTCCGGGACCTTTCCTACCGGACCTTAATGACGAAACAACGTCATCCCTAAGGGGGAGCCGCTGAGTCTAAACTCTATTATGGTCCGCTGACGTGATTGTCATGACACCTTTATCCGGAATTAACCGGTATCCTCTTCGAGGGAGATAGAGCGGGTCTAGAAAGTGGTACGATTGTATTTGCGATTTGATGATTGGCTGATAAGCCCAGACGGCTTTAATGCGGCTTCAGAACACATGCCGGGCTATCTTTACCCGCGGGCCCCGAACCCTAAGCATGAATGAGTCATGTAATCACCGCTGACTCGGCAATTGGTAATCCCTTGTCTAAGTATAGCACCTACGCGAAAGAACCATGTGATGCGGCGGTCTAGATCTACCGGCCCGGTTACCCCAGTCTAAATTTCGCCCTATCTCGGCTCCCGTCTCAGCGGTTCTCGCCCAAGTAGTAAGCGAACTGGTCTTGTGATCGGTGACGCGTGTAAGTTCCGGACCTGTCCACAATAGGACTCCGTCGGAGTATGCGATTTAAAGCGCCGCTACTCCCGCCAGTTTGCATATATAAACCTCTGAAGATACCACTGATGAGGAATAAAATCCGAAACTGCTCGTCTACCTCCATTGAGGGCAGTCTGGTATCTCTTCATCACGCCTCCAGCCCACCGATCTCACTCAGCCGCTTCGCGGCTTCGTTCGATCGCCACCTTAACTTAACCTTAACTTTGCCCTCCGGACCTTTACGGTGAATAACATCATCCTGCTTACGCAGGGGGACACATGACCGAACGTTATTATTGTCCTACCCGGACATTAACGTGGGATTAACCACAAACCCTAATCGTTATCTTATCGATTCACGGGGGATAACTGTGCTCATGGGACCTTATCATTCGTCTATGATTGGTCATTCTCACGCTGTCGTTATTACAATAGGATCTTCTTTGGAAACGTCTTTGTTCCTAAGAATAAACGTGGGCCGACTCCCACGCTGTCATCAGACCGCCTCGGCATTTGAACAACAAAGGGCGCAATCATTGGCTGATAAGCGATGGTAACATGTGGTACCCGGCCCGGATGCGGGTCCGACAATCCGGAAACTGACGTCCTCTCCTACGGAGCAGGGGCCCGGTGGATGGATAGGCCGGTCCGGCCCTTGTAACACATGGAACTACCTCGAGAACAACTCGAGTGCTTCACGCACTGCCGCACGGCACTGCCTGCCAGTTTGCTATATAAAAAGAGAAGACTCTGACCACTGAAGAGCATCTTGCGAAATTACCTAGCCCTCTCTCCTTAGTGGGGGGTAATTTGGTCATCATCGCCTCCTCTTCTTCTCGACAGCCACCACCACCTCGCGACCTTCGGCCGCTCGGTGGCCTCTTAACCTTAACCTTAACGCCTCCAGCCCACCGATCTCACTCAGCCGTGAAGCAGCCGCTTCGCGGCTGAGTGAGATCGCCACCTTCAACTCACACAGGATTAGTTCCAAGGCATACACATTTAAATGTGGGCAGTCAGGGGGCAGCTGGTGTATTGCTCTTGGGCAATCAATGGGTGTATAGCGGGAGATGAATGGGCAGTCAGTGGGTGACAAGTTTTAGGCATAACAAAAATATGACTTCTTGTCTTGTCATTTACAAACGCGCTGATATTACAAATTTTGATATACTCAAAACTGCTTATATGAAATATTATATTTTATGTGGTTTGACGTCACACTTAAACTTCCAGTCATACTGCACTGAAATTGAGAATAGCATTAGAATTAATAAATATACATTTTTTCTTCACCTGATATTAACGATTTTGTCGAAGACAAAAAAGAATACCCAAATTAGATATGTAGTTAGCAATTTTTGCGATCAGTTTTATGTATTGTTTTAAGTCTACTAAATTTCCGTCGCAATGTTTTATTTTGTGAGCGCATTTTCATAGAGATTTTCGACAGAGAAAATGTTAGTCACTGTGATGTGTGGAAAGCCGTTTTGAGATATCTCTTGCCCTGACTTATTTAACAAGATATGCTACAATTTTCCATTGCGGCAATATCTTCCCAGATCCATCAAGTCATAAAGGTTCCTCCGCGTTTTCCTGATGCAATATCTGGTGTCGAGACTAGCATCGCAGAGCCCTACTCACTTGACTCAGCATTGTGAAGAATGAGTAGTATTCCACCGCATCACAATTTCTGACTAGCAAGTCAATACAAACTAATAAGCTATGCACAATACGTTGTACACATTGAACGATATGAAACTTGATTAGGCCTGGACGTTTGCGCTGAAAACATTTTGTTGGTACTGAACTACGGAAGGCAGTGGTGACCACTTACGGGAATTCACCAATGACATTGCCTGCGGGGTAGTACTCGCAAACATAGTACTGAGCAGGCTATGGCGTAGAATATGATGTGAGCTATGTTATCTTGGTGATGCAGATACCAACTTACTCCATAGCTAGCAGCAAAAATACCGTTACAAGTTTGAACCGCGCATCCAACTTCAGAAGTGCCCTTCCACACAACTTGAGTCCAGTGAGAAGGCTGAGGGTTGCTTGGGTCGTATTGCGCTAATGAACATGCACATCAAGTTTGAGGAATAAACAATTTGAACGAAAAACGCACATGCTTCAGCGGTCCAGGCGCCGATGCCATCAGCGATGGTAAAGTTTCCAGTTCCCGCAGCAAGGTTTTCTAAAGTTATTATGAACGTTAGTGTAGTGATCGACTACCTAAACTTTGCTGTGCATACCACCGTAAGGGCCCAATGTTCCACCAGAGTGCTGAAACACGCAGCCATTAGCCCAAGTCTGAGCGGCCGTTGCCAGTGTAGCGTTCCACGTCAAATCTGAAGCACCGTGCGCCTCGCGAGCGGCATTGTGCAGATCAAGGTATTGCTGAATGTCACTGCTTGACGCATCCCGAGCCTATACGAAAAGGACGAAGGTCAATATAGCAATGGGAGTATATTTCCGCGGTGTAAATCATGTGGACGACATACTAACTGACCTTCTGTGTCGGGACAGCATTGACAGCACCGGCAACGAGAGCCAAAAGAAGGTAAGAGAAAGTGAGGCGAGCCATAAGGGAAAGACAGGTGGAGAATGTACTGCTCGAAGGGGCCTTGTAAAGGTGCACATCATAGGAATTAGTTGGGAGACTCACCAGGTGGAGAAAGGTAGAAATAGGTGATGAGACGCTGTGCATGGTCGAGTCTTATATACACTTTCTGGTATCTCCCGTGATTAGTGTGCTTGTATGAGACTAACTTTCTGGGGTAGTCAGGGAGCGACGTCCGATCATCATGCAGCAATCCTGTTCACTTTGTTCCATATGCATGTTGCCAAGGCCTTGGGAGGCGCAGCGGACCATCAGCATCTTACCGACTCTTGCATCGCGATGACCATAAGAAAGGACATCAGATCCTCAACGGCTACTCGACGGTCATGTGATCAGACGTACCTTACATACATGACAGATTTATCAAGAGTGGTGTTTCGTATAATGCGTCGTTTCATGACTGGCGTTTCAAGCTTCAAGTGTAAGCTTGATGAGAGATCGAGTGTAACAGATGAGGCATCACGGCTCCACTGTCGTATAACTTGAAGTAGAAAAGCATACTTTGCGGGCAAATGCCGCAGTCAGCGGGGATTTCCCAGGCCTTCTTACATCATCTGGGATAACCTGGTCTAATTGTAGCGCCCAAAGTACGCAGTTGCATACTATTGCTCGTCCAGTGTGCAAGTATACCTTCCCGCTTTAATCGCTATGCAAGCATACCTCGCAGAAAAATATATGTCTGGCCCCAAGGCAGACGCCATTCTCTCACGTACTGCTCCGAAGAAGAAGAAACGCAAAGTCGAAGCATCCTCGAAATCCATGTTAGTAGATGAAGATATAGCAGGCTGGGGTGAGATGAGAAAAGACGACGAGGAGGATACGACGGATGCTGTAGTGGCATCAGACAGGTCTTTCAAGAAGCGCAGAGCCGCCCCCAAAGAAGAAGGATCCGGATGGGCAACGGTGCGCGAGCCAACACCACCAATTCCCGCGGATGAGCAGCCTTTGGTGGTTGATGAATCAAAGCAATTTGTGGGTGGTCTTCTCACCTCAGATCAGCTTCGGAAAGCACTTCCGCAAACCAAAGCGAAAACTGCAGCGCTGACTCGGGAGGAAGAAGAGGCTGCGCAAGAAACTGTGTACCGAGATGCATCTGGAAGAAAAATAGATACTAAAGCTGAGCGTGCAGAAGCTGCTCGGAAGAAGAGGGAACGAGAAGAGAAGGAGGCTCAAAAAATGGAATGGGGGAAGGGATTGGTGCAGAAGGACGAGGAGGAGAAACGGAAGCTTGACCTTGAGAAAGCTCGGTCGCAACCATTTGCTCGACGTGCGGATGACCAGGAGCTAAACGAGGAGCTGAAAGCACGGGATCGTTGGAATGACCCAGCAGCAGCTTTTTTGACGGTAAAACCTCGTTCTACAAGTGCTATTTGTGATATACCTAACTGGAGCCTATTCTCAGAGTAAATCATCCAAGGGACCTCGTAAACCGCAATACTCAGGGCCTCCACCCCCACCAAATCGGTTTGGAATTCGACCTGGATACAGATGGGATGGTGTTGGTGCGTGTATACGTCAATTCTTTTACGACTACCTGACGTACTGTCATTTTTCAGATCGTGGAAATGGTTTCGAGAAGAAGCTGTTTCAGCACCAAAACGAGAAGAAACGCAAGACTTTGGCGAGCTATGAATGGAGTGTGGACGACATGTAATATGTGTTATTACATGCATCATGCTATTTCGGACCATAGGAGGTATCCAGTGCGGGATCAAACTCAAAACTAAACGAGGGTACGCAGGGTGTTATTGACAGGATTAGGTCTTATATCCGTCCGGTTGTGGAATCACGTCCAGCATGGTTAAAGTTCACACCACGCATGTTATCATGGTTGACGGTAAAATCGAGGATGACTCTACTAGCCTTCGGTCGCTTGGCACTCCTCTTGCTCCCAATGTTCATATTCACAGACTCTTGTCTTCGTCACCTCCGTCCACGCAGAGACAGAATTCAAGCAAGATCGCTTATTATCCGAAAATCGTGTCAAATCTCATGTCATGTTCTAATGAATACAGCGGACATACAAACAGCTATGCGACTTATATACAATGCATACGGTCAACGCTAACTAGCCAGATTATTTTACAACATATAGTGAGCATGATCCATAAAATAGTATCTTCACATCGTAGTCGGAAATTAAGACGTATCGGCACGTCGTGGTTCAACGCGCACTGAACGCATGTTTGGATAGGTCAATATGAGATGTCGCCCGTCCATGGATGCCCGGACTTCTTCGAACTATGAAATATCATTAAATTTTCAATACAGCACATTCATCGAGGAGTGAAGCCTCAAACTTACTTTGGTACCTTCGGGGAGAGGAATCGTACGAGTAAACTTCTTCTCCTCTCGTTCCCTTACTATCCGCTCCCCCTCATCTTTTTCCGTCACTTTCACTGTTTCCCAATTGACAACTAAATTATTTTCACGGAAACTAACGTGTACCTGCGGCTTCTTGATCCCAGGTAAATCAAATGTAGCAGTGACCTAGAAATGTTCGACGCCATGAATGGAAACGAAACTTGAGATTGAAGAATAATACTTACTGTGCGGCCGTCTTTGGCTTCACGGAAAGTCACGCTACAAGGTTACAGGAAAGCCAACAACATAAATGAAGAAGTGGAGTAATTAAATCAGGCTAACATACTCGGACTTCCGCCTCTTCAGCTTTGGAGCTGGTTTATGAGGTACAGACGCAGGTGGCGGAGAAGCAGCTGGGGGCGTTTCCAGTGACTTCACCTTGGGAGGAGACTTGGCCATCTCCCGCTCTTTCCTCTGCCGAATGGTTTCCCATAGTTGATTGAGTGCTTGGTATTCCCTGTCTAAAGGAGAAGGACCAATAGTGGTGCCCGACGAGCTTTGTGGATAATGGCGTCGTGGTTCTGGAGCTGCATGTCTGTCAAAAGCAAGTTCCGACTGGGACTGGGAAGGTGTGGCAGGTGATGCAAAGGCCTTATCGAAAAGCACATCAAATCCATCCCAGCAACTGAAGGAGTCCCTCGTCGTTGGTGGCATCGTCGAAGGGTGAATAAACCCAAGAGTTATCGACAGAGCAGAAAATCCAGAAAGGTACACACGATACTTGATGACAGCTGTTGGATTTGGACTTAATGTCTGGACATGAAGATTATAATCAGAAGGGTACAGCGGCTAACTTGCTTGCATACACGAGGCTGATGAAAGGCAACGCCATCGGCGTGACCGCAAGCAGGCCCGCAGCCAGGCTGCAGTGTTTGGTATGGATATCGGCAAAGACTCCGAGGCATAAAAGGGGATGCAATCATAAGGGGAAGCGTTTGTCCTGGAGATACGACGTTAAAGTCGAGGCGTTCCCAATGGCACAGCACCGACAAAATTTAAACTAACAACAACTAGCAAACAGCCCATATCCCGGGGCGATCAGGTAACGACTTCTATTCAGTTCCATGAATAAGAGTATTCGAAGCTTGAGCTTGAAGGGCTAACACTAGCACGATAATCAGCGCTCAGCATGACAGGGACATTGCGTAGAAACGGAACCAAGGAATATTAATAGCCTTCACACACACTCAGGTTCGCGAGCCTATCATTGTCATTCAGACCAGGACTTGGAGCAAATCATGGGATACGTGATACAGCAAAAACTATCAGTACAATACTAGTGAATTAATGGGAATATGGTACCCATGAAGTATAATATACTCGATCATGAAGTAGGAGCTTTGAATTTCTTGTTCGAGTAGCCTGTTACTACCCGTCCCATTCCTAATCTGCGTTTCGTCCCACCCAAAGGAAGGTTTGGGGAGTTAGTTGCCAGCGATGTAGCCGAACTTTCTGGTTGAGACTGAAAAGAATTATCTACTAGCAGAGCAGACCCTTGCATAGTGTTCAGTTGTGAAACTGAAGGAATGGTTGACAAGTTCAAGGTGCTTTGATACGATGACAGGGGCACGGTAGACCGATCACTTGCGGGTGCAGAGGTACGCGTCGACACCACTCTGACGTTTTCGTTGGTCAGGGGGCTTAAGGCCTTGGTGGAAGGGGGTTTGTCGGACATACCAGCGAGATAGGCTCTGGGATCTATACAGAACTTCTAGCTTTTACAGAAACATAAATCACGAGTGCTTACTGTGAAAACCATTGATGGAAGGCAAAATAGGTCCGGCCACTGCTTTATTACTGGACCAAGGATACAGGGGGGATCGGGAAGGTTGTTCTGGATGGCTTGGTTCATCTGGTAAGCGATAACTTGTAGTTTGATTACTAGCAATATTAAGAGAAAAAGTTAGCTATTGGCTTGGCGCATCGTACACGATTATGAGCGCACAACATAGTCATTCTTCGTCTGACATCAATTTCATTTGGTAATAGACAGGCTCTGCCCATGATTTCGGCAAACAGCTCCCGTTCATCAGAAGAAACCTCGGGGGGCTGGTTTGTGAATAGTAGCTGGTTATGTAAATTGAACGTCAGCAGCTTGACCTGTACGATATATGTACGACTTGCTTACTTGGTTTTCATCACGGACCACCGAGACAAATTCAGACAAATCTTTAGTCTTGGATTCACCTGCTACTTTCCGTTTACTGGAGTACGATAAGTATAAGAGATTTTGAGCACGAGTGAAAGCTACATAGAGAAGTCGCCTTGGCAGGGTTTATTAATGAAGTGGTCCCGTGATTCAAGCAACATCCCTCACCGTTCTTCTTCTACATCATCAGTACGATAGAAAGGGAATGTGCCTTGCTCCACTACGATCATAAGGCTTGATCAAATGCTACCACTTAGCAATAGATTTCACGCACCCGCGGGAATCATAACGACAGGCCATTCCAATCCCTTTGCAGCATGGCAAGTTGAGATCGTCACTTTCTATGTATATCGAATGTGTGAGCAGTGAAAGGCAGCCTACGGGGGTCACCTACTTCATTGTCGCCCTCATCCGAGTTTACATCATCCGATGACAACATGGAAGCTTGTAGGAATATTCGCAGGGGTGTATCACTATGGAGAGCAAATGAAATTAGCAAAACACCGACGAAAGGATAGAAGCCGTCACGTTTGATTTGGTCTTTCTGAAGGTTCTTCATGTAACTCCTTCATAATTATATTTCTGTCTGCACTGGCTTCACTAGCGAAAGTGATCAATTCTTGCACATTTTCCCAACGAGTATCCCAGTCAGGCTGGGTCCTTTTCAGGTGGTTTTCATAGTTAATCAAAATCAATAGAGTACCAATGAGATCAGAAGGTGATTTCCCCTATACACAGTTATAAATTTTGGTTGACTATTATTGGGGCAGAAAAGTCAAGAGGACACACCTGAGCGGCAAGTTTTCCAAGATTACGGATTGCGGTAACAAAAGGAGCAGCTTTGCGTTTCACGGCTAACTTAAGATCAGGAATCTTGGAGTCGCATATCTTCTCGAGCACTGCCAACGGCGACATCTTCAGTTTTCCCGCTTTTGCGATGATTTCAGCTAGGGCCTATGTCATGCATGTTGAGAGACACATAAAATAACAGGTTACAAGCAATAGTCACTTTTTCCCCAATTCCTCGTGAAGGGATATTCACTGCACGAGAAAATGCAGGTTCATATTGAGGGTTGTCGACGAGCTGTAAATAAGCCAGTAGATCTTTGATCTATGAAAACACTTTGCTTTTCAGGCTACATTGTCTTCCTGTGGTGGAGCATCACAAACCTCAGATCGTTCGAAAAATTTGTGACCACCTAAAATCCGACATGGTATGCGTTCTTTCTGCAGGGCGTTTTCAATAGTGCGTGAGATGGCATTGAATCGAACTGAAGACGGACCAAGCTTTCAGTCTCAACATTGGATAGTAACGGAATGCGACTAACGAAGTACCGCAAAATCACCGTAGTGAAGCATACCGCCCGCTAAAGCAACTATCCTCTTGATTTCGACCGCCAAAAATGCCGCTTCTTCATGTTCCGACACAAAGGATCGTAGCATTGGACGGGGTCCTAACTGGTAAGAGGTATGGAGCTTCTTTGGGATGCGCAGCTTATCTATTTAGATACCAAAAATTATCAATCGCATCGGATAGAAAACTGCAAGACATGCCTTGAGAGATTATAGCAACGCTGGCGGCAAGGATAGATCCCGTTGAACGATAATTTTGTTCCAGGAAAATCTGCACTGTTTTTAAAAAGTCTACAAGACAACAATGTAGACAGTAATCATGTTAAATCAGGAAATACCAACCTTTCTGCATTTTAAAGAGATTTTCGACTTCGGCAGAACGCCACCCATAGACTGCGAATAACAATGAGGTGGATATCAGACATTTATGAGATGAGGCTGACTAGACTGATCAGGGTCCCCTACTACAGTAATGCAACCGCTAGCGGCAGCGAGGAAACGCATGAGCTCGTACTGCATAATATTCGTATCTTGGCTGAAAGCATATAAGACACATGCATAACCGAAATTTATGACATCTACTTACAATTCGTCCACGAGAACATGTCTGCACCATTGCGCTGAATCACGATATCCTGAGAAAAGTTTCACTCCATACACGAGCAAGTCGTCAAAGTCCAAGCTGTTGTTTAGCCTGAGCATGCGTTCGTATTGTTCATAGATTAGAGCGACGACACTATGAATACCATCCCCCTGGGTAGTTTTCCCTGATTTTGATTTCGTGTCACCCACTTTTTGAACATTTGACTGAGAAAATTTGTCTGCGTCTTGACCTTTTGCCTTCGCCCGAGAAATCAAAGAAAGGACTGTGCCTTCCTTTAGCATCAGATCGTTGGCGGACAGAAACTCCTTGTGTAGTTTCAGCTGATCTGATATCATCTTTTTGCTGTTTTGGCGGTCAATATAGAAACAGAGCCAATACATACGACAGTCACCTCTCTTCTGAACCACATATAGTGAAGTTACTCTCTAAGCCAATGCGGTTAGCATATTTCCGCAGGAAAACGACACATATAGCATGAAAGGTGCCCATTTTCACCTCCGCTGCCCTTGCCTTTCCTATCAACTTTGCAAGGCGCTCTTTCATTTCGTTAGCCGCCTTGTTAGTGAATGTGACGGCACATATTGAGTATGGGGGTATGCCATGATGTAGTATAAGATATGCTATCCGCGTTGTCAGTACTTTGGTTTTTCCGCTCCCTGGTCCCGCAAGAATCTGAAGTGGGATATCTGGAGGGTGTTGCACACCTACAAATGTCTGAGCCCTGACTCAGAATTAGCCCGAGCAGAAGGACAACTTACATCGAAGCTGCTCAGAATTGAGGGTTTGTAGCTGTAACCTATCCATTGATGATGGATTGAATGTAAAACATACAAGTCACGTTCATAGACGTGATGACGAGATGTGGTGAGTACTGAGCTGGTGAAAGCAACTTGACTTTTTTTATGACGCGTGAACCCGACGCGACTGTGGCAAGGCACGTGATGTAATGTTCTGTCATAACCACCGAAAACAGATAGCCGCGTCCTAACTTCATTTGAGTAACGAATATGTAGATTAAAAAGGCATAAATGTACATGTACTTGTCATATCTCATGATGCTGGAGCACTGTAACATGGTAGAGGATATCGAATTCGAAGGCTACTATTACATTTGCTTTGTCTCCTCTTCGTAGCGTTCTTCGCTAGCTTTCTCCGGGTCACTGCTACCGTTTGAATATGCGTTCAAGCCGATCCGTTCGGCGATATCATTTTGTCGTTTCAGATCGGCTGCTCCCAGTCCTTCCGCATCACCGAATACTATGTCCATTTCTTCCAGACTGAGGCCTTTAGTCTCAGGGACCTGCGAAGAGATCAAAGACTGTTTTTATCTGCCAAGGAAATCGACCTGTTATACTCACAAAAAACCATATGAACAGACCACCTAAGAAAGAAAATGTCTGAATTTCTTCCACGTTAGCAATATAAACCGATTCCAAGGAAAGCCAGTCTTACTCCAAAAAACACGAAAGTCCCGAAGCGGATATGCGCCAGCATTGTCGGAGTCACCTACGCAAAGGTTAATAAATGATGGAATATATCGGCGAAAAAAGAAGCCTTTTGGCTTACCTCTCCAACTGGAAAAATAACCATGCGAATGTAAATCCAGATAGAACCAATTTTCATCATTACTCACCGATAAAATTATTCATCTACACAAGGAGCATTATTTTTTATCAGTACTTGTGGGGGAACTTTACAAGAGTAGCCTAAACAAACCCAATTTGATGAAGCAGCGATCGATACACCCTTGCCACGGATGCTCAAAGGCCAGATCTCTGTGACGACAATCCAAGAGCAAGGTCCTAGTGAAATATGAGCTGTTTATAAACAAAGCGTCTCATGGTAGGAATCTCATACCCCAGCTATACCCGAATCCTAAAATCAGTCATCAGTAATATTCGCCTTCTCATAGGTGTGCCTTACCCATAGCGAAAACCCACACAAGAGCGCAGGCGGCCCATCCAGCAGCTGAATGTAGGTGAGCCAGATGGATTCAATAAGCAGAAACAAGATCTAATCACCGACATGTCTGCAATGGAATCAGGGCGGTGTTTAAGATATACGATTTGTGAACTCACTCGGTCCAATTATCCTCATATAACCCGGATAATACGGCAATGGTAATGTGACATCTGTTAACTCGTTGGAATCACAGCGACCAACAAGTGCACATTATCAAAACTCACGCAGCCATAAGGAAAGCTCCAGATATGAGAACAGGCTTCCGACCAATCTTGTCAACCCATATGACCGCCGGTATAGTCGCGAGAAACATTCTGTGAGGTACGTCAATCTTGAAGATGGACAAGTACTTATTAGACACGCACGCTATACCGACCACTCCTGTGGCAAGCAGACTTGTAGTATTTCCTGTCAAACCCAGGGAAGAGAATATGCTGGGAGCGTAGTACAGGATGGCATTGACACCCGTCCATTGTTGAAAGAACATCGTACTATTGGAGGTAATGTGAGAAGACAATATATCAGCTTAAGCGTTGCATCAACCCACAGTGATCCGACAGCAACTCTATAAAACAACGCTATGCGAATTAAGTGAGCAAACTGGGAAAACATTGTAAAACGATAAACTCGTACTGCGAGATCGAAGAAGGCTCAAGTAATCAAAAAATCCTAGTTTGAAGTCCGAAGAGAAACTACCATCCTGATACTGAGGGAACTTCTCAGCGTTTATCTCTTGCTCGAAAAGATACTGCGCTTTTATTTCTCTGTGTGCTCGGTGGGGTAAATATAGGTAATACTACCTAAAAATTTGACTCACAAAAATTCGATCTGCACGAGGTCAGATTCGATGGGAAACTTTCGCACTCTACTCAAAACTGCAAGAGCTTCGTCGTCTCGTCCTTGATTGACGAGCCATCTAATAAATGATATTTCAAGAACATTCATAATAACCGGACAGATCATATAACGGACCTCGGTGAAAAGGGCATGAACAGAATACCGATTCCCAGGATTAGTGCAGGAACAAGTTGAAGAGCGAGGGGAATTCTCCATGCAGCTTCGCTTTGAGTACTTCCAGTTCCGCCGATATAGTTGGTTCCGTAGTCAATCCAGAAGGAAATCATGATACCAAAGGTGATAGCCAATTGCTGGAGAGCCACAAGACTACCGCGGACCTCCGGGGGCGCAATTTCGGCACTGTGATCGAATGCAAATATAAGAAAAAATAAAAATTTGGTCTCCTACTTTAACTGACTTGTAAAGAGGAACGGCCATGCTGAGAGAACCAACACCAAGACCAGTGATAAATCGACCTTTTGACGAAACTCAGCAGGCAGAGCACAATCCAGGTTTATACCGCACTTACCACCGAGAATCGAGGATGGCTGGAAAGCTGCTGTCTGTACAATGACACCTATGCAGAAGATACATACAGCTGAAAATGAAGTCAACACCAGAACATGCAATGATTGGAGTATGTCACGTACCGAATAAAATAGTATATTTACGGGAGAGTTTGTCAGCCAGGTAGCCTGTGATCAACACGCCGACCCAAGCCCCAAGTTCAAGGATAGCAACAAGCCATCCTTTCGTTCCAGTGTTGTTGACAGCAGAGGCCATTCTGTTGTCGAAAGTATACATACTATAAAAACAGCTCATTAGAAACCGTCTCTCGTGGAGATCTGATACACAAAGCCAAACTGACTTCAAGACTCCGGAAAAAACACCCTTGAATGAGATGAGAAGCGTGCAAGTCATCCAATAATTACCAGCTCACCTGATTGTAACCTGCAAAATAGAAGATGTATGAAGACCGTCAATAAAGCTGATTGCGCTAACAAGAAAAATCCGACCATAAAGCCTATAAGCAGATCCAAGTGAGGATAGGAGTAATGTATGTGCAGCAAACAACTTACAGACCACCAAGAGACGCAAATACAGCCATGAAAAAAACTTTGCGATTATGAACAAGGCCAGCCTTAACAGTATCGCGTGTACTCGATGAATATGGCGGCCAACCCTTTCAATCGAATTCGAAGACTCACCCATCCTGACTTACCAGCTAGGGCCTTGCGACGGCTTGCTGCGTAAGGGCTGATAGCTTCTGTTACTGCACCTCCAGCCATGATACTTGGGGTAATGACTTCTACTCAAGAATCTGCGGGGCCCACGCTATATAAGAAGGTGCGGCTCCCCAGTCTAGGAGGACGCCGGATGATCACGGCATCAGACATGTCATGGGTTCAGTGCGTGATGCTGTACTTGCATTTTCAGTATCTATCAAGGCGGGGAACTGTGGGGTACCATGATGCGGAAGCATATCGACGAAGGATAAACTGATGAACCGTCCCAGGAATGCTTACACCCTTTCCTTATTCAAGCAAGAGTTTTAATCGGCAGTTACGCGATGTTCCTGTAAACAGCCTTTGGAGAATTCGCGGCACATCACCACGGGGAACCGGTCCGGATACTTTGGGAGAAGGTCCGGCAGCTCCCGTCCACTTCGCCGAAATGAAAGGCACAGGTACCTAATTAACGGTCATTAAAATCCCGCCCGCCTAGCTCAATCGGATAGAGCGTCAGACTCTTACAACAGAGTTATGCGGGATCTGAAGGCTGCGAGTTCGACCCTCGCGGTGGGCTAATGTTTTTTATCTGCATTGATACAGTCGCAAGTATGATAGCTTCTATGTTAATATATCTCAATACCCGTCTATAGAGCGAACACTCCTCGTCCGTCGCCATCATCTCCATCATCGTGACGTTGCTCTTCTAACAGTGCCTCGTTGGCATCCAACTCTGATTCCTCCTCCAACTGGAAATTCGAGCTTTCTTTGGGTACTTTGACAAATATGAGCAGGACAAATCCAATTCCTACGATGATGGTGGAGACGACGAATATAGCGCGTGGAAAGATAGCGACTGTTTTGAGATACGTAAACCCATAGAATGCAGGGCCTATGATTTGTGACCTTGCATAGAGCATAATATGTATCATCAGTCCAGACTAGCCGTGATGAACGGACAAATTGAACAACTCACCCCAGCGCCCTCACCAGGCTTAGCACGCCAAGCAATTTACCTGACTCTTCTCTGCCGCTAGTACGATTTGCATGCAGTTCAAGCGCGATGCTCTGCACGGCCGGTAAGAACCCAGATGATAAGGCACCAAGTACAGTGAACGTATTAAACGCCCATGGTGTGCCGTCGAGTGCTATGATTAGATAAGCAAAGACAAGGACAAAAAGTGAGATGCGGGAGAGAGCGAGGTCAAAAGACGCTGCGCTACGCAAATTGTGGGGCTTAGCCAATAAAGTAGGTGTGAGTGAAGACGAGTTGATCGTTTGAGCATCAATAGACGGGGAAGATGGTTTGGGCTTGAGAAGTTTGATAATAGCTATAATAGACAAGGAGCGGAAATAAAGTCTACAAGGACCCCGAAAATATATGACTCGGGCCCATACCTGGCAGCAGCACAACCAAATGTAAGGCTCGCACTCCCCCCCAAAGCGATACATTAACATTGATCTGAATATTATAATTAGTTAGCCATAAAGATATTTGGATTCATGAGAACTCCACAAACGCACCGCTTCAGATGACCAGCCAAAGGCAGCAGCAGCAAATTGATACTGGTACAGGTAAGATTCCTGTTGATTTAAAGCACAGTTAACGGTCAATGACAGCCATCCATTTAGTGTCGCAACATGTACTTACGTCGACTAGGATCATCAGTCCATAACTTCCGGCCACTAAGCACAGACTCCAGTCATTACTCCACTTCTTTATCGAGTTTACTTCCGACACGGCTGGCATCAAAACACTAAACGGATTTTGGTGCTTGATTTTTCTCAAACATGTCAAAAATCTAACAAGAAGCACGTTCAGCTTTCCTGATCTTTGCTGGTCCCTCGACGCCACCCGCTGCCGCTCAGCATGCTGCAGGCGAGCAGCTGCCATTTGTGAATAAGAAAGGGACTCGGGTGCAAGGCCAAGCATGAGCATCTGAACAACGTGAATAAGAGCGATCAAATAATATACTGATAACGGCCGTTGTGTGAATCGAAGGAGAAACGCTCCGATTATAGGTCCGACTGCCCCCCCAGCGGACGCAAGGCCCAAAGACAGAGCGAATACACGAGATCTATAACTTATATATCAGCAAACCGCAGAAGTCATATACAAATTTATTCACCGCGAATTGCGATCAACGCAGTCAGACAGGTATGCCTGTATTGAAGCATCTGCAAAAGCCACGCCTTCAGGGGCACAAGCGTTCATGAAGCATACATCTAGAAGCCTGTAGATTGTGTAGGCTTACCTCCAACACAGCCATCAATTAGTGGTCCGATTATTAAAAACCAATACCCGCCAGGGAGACGGTCAGCAAACAGATTGACGATGAGGAAGTTGATGTCTAAAGCGACTAGACCAGTGACGGCCAGACACATAAGGCGTGTACGACCATAGCGATCGGATAACTGTCTAACAGCTATTAGCAGATGAGGGTAGCATGCGCATCAAGCAGCAGTACAATATTAATATTGACGTACAGAACCCCACCAAGCAGAAGTAAGACAACTGAGTACCCCCATTGAGGTACTCATTGCTACCAATTAAAATTAAGTCATGGCTTATCACAAGTCTGGGATAGCTATGAACCTACCAGCCAACAATTGTGCGACAGCAGCTTGCACGTCTGGATCTGATGCACATCGCTGCTGTATTGTGCTATTACCTTCTTCCACTACCGTGCCATTGGGGGGCGATATTTCCCTCCAGGATACGAACTCGCTGGAATAGGCTCCGGCTACCGGTACCTCAGAACGAACAGATCCACGAGACACGACAGAACCTAAGAAAAACTCCGGCTTGTGCCTATGGCAGGCAAGATTTGTGTATATTTCAATTGAAGGGCCTATCGCTATTGACGAGCAAATGAAAAAGAGAGGAACATGGATAAGAACCCTAGTCCTCATAGGTAAGTTATAAGGAAACACCATGAGGAAACACGAACCAGATTGGGGACGGCCTTTTCCACCATCGTCTTTTCTTCCAGCTCAACACCTTCAATCTATGCTCTGCTTCCTCGTCAAATTCCTGAGAAGACGGAGAGTACGTATTGAATGCTTCGTCCGCGTTGCATCGAGAGCGCTCTAACTCTAGCAGTTCTATGTCCTCTTCATCAGAATTGTCTGATGCTTCTCGTGGATTTTGATAATTTGAGGCATGTGAAGTTTCGCGCAAGGTACTGTGAGGATAAGCCATTGACCAGAACTGCTGTTGTTGCTGGCCCTATAGCTAGCGATACGGTGAACACGGTGACTGCCAGACCCTCTTCCCAATCCGAACTTTGTCGCAACCTGCGTTGATATTATGGCATGTTGACGCCGCCGTTTACCAAGTGCTCACCTGCATGTCAACCTCGATGTCAACAAATGAGAGATGGGACACACTCACTGGCACTATGACCTGTCCTAACACAAACTTAAAGCCAAGCCAGTATTACTAGTCACCGTCAAAATGGAGCTTTATTCATCTCGGGATATTTCAAACAATCTTCTAGCTAAAAAAACATCATTGTCGGACAATCACAAATATGTATCGTCAAGAAAAACATCCAATGTATGAGGAACAAGCGGCACCCTCCAAGTTCAATCCCCTTCCTATATTCGCCCTATGTATCAGGTAGTATTGTATTATCACTGGATCTCCAAATCGGATATGAGTCAATCCGACGTCACCTGATCAGCAGATATAGATATCAAGATGACTCCGAGTCTCAGTGCGGCTTGACTATAACTTGCACTAGTCACTGCAAGATTTTGTTTGCTCTGAAAAGTCTTATTAATCATGGCGGATACCAATGAACCTGTCAAACCCCAGGAAGAGTACGTACGACTCTCGTTTTGTTGTATGATCGAGCACACTTAATGCTATAAACATCAGAGGAGAGAAAGCCGGCCCATCCAAAAATGAGCTCAAAAAACGCGCAAAAGAAGCTGAAAAGGCAAAGAAAGCCGCAGAGAAGGCTGCTCGTCAAGAGGAGCAGGCCAAATCGAAGGCCGAAACTGAAGTCGTACGTTGGACTCTGCATCGATAGGTCTTATCGACCATCTCATACAGATAACAGGATTTTGCAGCTCAATATTACGGAAAACTTCCTTTGCACCAGTCTCAGTCACGTCCTGGCCGAGCTCGCACCCAAATCGCTGCACTCTCCGCTGAGAATGATGGACAGCGTGTACTTATTCGCGCCCGCATACAAACATCTAGGGCACAGGGTAGCAAGATGGTCTTCCTTAACCTCCGTCAACGTACCGACACTGTCCAAGCATTGCTTACCGTCACGCCAGAAAAGGTTAGCAAACAGATGGTCAAATGGGCTGCTAGCTTGGCGGATGAGAGCATCGTACTAGTTGAAGGAAGCGTAAAGAAATCGCCTGAAATTATCAAGAGCGCGACAGTGGGCGATGTCGAAATACATATTGACCAAGTAAGTATATGCCTCCATTCACGTAGTAAATTCTCTGGTTAACATTCCCCTTTAGCTATTCCTCATTTCTGCGATTGAGGGACGTCTTCCGTTCTCCCTTGAGGATGCCTCACGGCCAGAGAATGCAGGAGAGACAGCAGAGACGCAGTTTAATAAAGTACTCTTGGAGACTCGGTTGAACAACCGCATAGTCGATCTGCGTGTACGTGCGCTACCATCCGCTTTCCAATCGCAAAACTGACCTCGCTATAGACCACGACTAACCAAGCGGTCTTTAGACTTCAACATGGTATTGGTGACCTTTTCCGCGAGTACCTCAATAAGAACGGTTTTATTGAGATCCATAGTCCAAAACTTCAGGGTGCCGCAACGGAATCTGGCGCATCAGTATTCAAAGTTAGCTACTTCAAAGGTATATCGGCCTTGTTCCCCTTTCGAAAATTTTATCAATGGCTCTTATAGGCACCGCCTTCCTCGCACAATCGCCCCAACTTGCCAAGCAGATGGCCATTGCGGCTGACTTTGAGCGTGTATACGAAATTGGGCCTGTTTTCCGCGCCGAGGATTCCAATACACACCGACATATGACAGAGTTTATAGGGCTCGATCTCGAGATGGTCATCGAGGAACACTATCACGAAGTACGCGAATTGCTCGACGGCATGTTGCTGAGTATCTTCCGTGGTCTAAAGGAGAAGTACTCAAAAGAAATCGAAGTGGTGGGCAAGCAGTTCCCCGCGGACGAGTTCAAGTGGAGGGAAGGCCCAGAGGGGACACTTACACTAACATTCAAGGAAGCCGTAGAACTCCTGGTCGAAGATGGTGTTGACAGAGAGATATTGGATGACATTAAGTCCGTTATCTAATATACCCCTTCAGGCTCTGATATTAACAGACGAAACTTATCAGCACCGAAAACGAAAAGAGACTTGGGCGTATTGTAAAAGCAAAATATGATACCGACTACTTCATTATTGACAAATTCCCGATGGCCCTTCGTCCATTTTACACCATGCCTGACCCTGAAGATCCTGTATGTCCCTTTTATACATTGTGTATTTTTCCACTCACCTCTGTCTGTCAGAGCCTCTCTAACTCGTATGACTTTTTCATGCGTGGTGAAGAGATTCTCTCTGGTGCCCAGCGTATACACGACCCTACTTTCCTCGCAGAGCAGATGCGGGGCAAGGGAGTCGATCCCGAGAGTATGTCGGGCTACCTGGACGGATTCCGCATGGGCTGCCCGCCACATGGCGGAGGTGGCATAGGGTTAGAGCGAGTTCTGATGTTGTTCTTGAAACTGAACAACATCCGTCGTGCGTCGTTGTTCCCAAGGGACCCCAAGCGATTGGAGCCGTAAGGATGCTTCTTAGAAGTACTTTAGGTAGTAGTTTGGGCGTCCGTGTTTCCTTTGTTAACATTGTTACATTTTGCCACTCGGGTGATATGCAGTGAAGCCAAGGCGTATTGCTACGTTTAGCATAGTAGAGGCTCGTTTCGTAGTTTTTCTTGTTTAGGTCCGCACATTTCGATGTTGTAGCTATTTCAAGTACTTGATCAGGATTTCTGATACCATCGGACTTGTCGGTGACATCGCCTGGCTGGTGTGTAAGTGCGACTCGAAGCTGTCCCAGTGGGACATCGCCTTGCACAGCTTTTGCCCCAAGTGCATTTGGAACAAATAAGCCACTCCCAGTGAATCTCAGTTCTGAACGCTCCGTTCGACCTCGTGAATCTTTGACATCCAAGCCTTGTAAAGCTAATGTGGCCGTCTTCAGGTGCAGGAGGGTTTCCCAGTCCGTGAGTGCTTCATGTATTCTTCACATTTCAAGGTATCGAACCCAAGAGCGGGAAAAGTCTGGAGTAGCCAGTCTGAAAGGTCTCAACCCTTCGAGGCAACCATACATCCGTAGCGACTCGCCAGGCAAATGACATGATACGATGCTCCTCCTTCAGGGCAGATTATTCGAATTCAACTTCAACCCACCTTCACTATTATTCTCGCTCGTACTAGCAACTCATTCTTCAATCATACAGCTACGGAGGAGCGCCTCCACCCGTTTCGAGAGATACACATCCAGGACATCACCACCACCATGACCATCACCACCACCACCACCATCAGCAGCAGAACAGTGGCTATCCTGGACAATATGGCGGCGACTTTGCCCCTCCTCAAGGATATCCCCAGGGTTCTCCGTACAACCCACCTCCCGGCCCTCCATATGCCCAGCGTCAAGGAGCCCCCTATGCTCCACCTCCCGGTCCTCCTTACGGCCCTCCTCCAGGCCCTCCGCCGTAAGTACCATAGCTCAGACTCGGATCTTTACATTTGGCTGAAATATGGGAAATACGCGTAGAATGAGTGGTTATGGATATCCTCCGCCAAGTTCGTTTACCATGTATTATATCGAGTGCCATACTCTGATTCGTTGGTGTCTTTTTGATCAGGTGGACCCCCTCAAATGCCTCCTAGCCAACAGCAGTATTACGGCCCCCAGATGCAAGGTCCCAACCAGCATGTACAGCAGCTTACTTCCAATACTCCCAGTGTACAGGGAAAAAGAAGGCGCTCTGCGTGAGCTTTTATATTTGTGAAATTACGCCCTTGGGCTTGGCTGACAGTATCTTATATCTAGATCGGCATTAACTATTTTGGTCAAAGTGCAGAACTACAAGGGTGCATCAACGACGCACACAACATTAAACGATTTCTTATATGTAAGTTGAAATCCTAAAAGCTGAACACTTACCACTTGAAGTCAAATGTCTCGGTAGCCCAATACGGTTATAGAGAAGAAGACATGGTTATGCTCACTGACGATGCCCGGGATCCGCGCCAAATGCCCACTCGCGACAATATGGCGAGATACTTCTACCATTGACTCATACCTCGCATTGACATCCTTTCGTATTCCAGCTCAAAGCGATGGAATGGCTGGTCCGCGGTGCTCAGCCACACGATTCTCTATTTTTCCATTGTTAGTGTCCATTCAACCAAATCAGTAGCATCACTGTACGCTAATCACTGTAACGAACAGATTCTGGACATGGTGGTCAAACGAAAGACCTCGATGGGGATGAAGACGACGGATATGACGAAGGTTCCATTTTCTTTTATACAGTAGTCCAGCGCAGGGAGTACTGAAAACTCTAACACCACACATACAGTCATCTATCCCATGGATTTCCAGGATTCTGGCCATATTGTTGATGACGTAGGTTCAAACTATGCAAAATGTATCCCACTTACCCACATTCACGAACACGTTTCCATAGCTGATCCACGACGTCATGGTAAAGCCCCTCCCTCCCGGTTGTCGCCTGACTGCTATTTTTGATGTGAGTCCTTATGGTCTCACTTAATCTTTTGTAACGAACAACCCTAATACATCATCCAACCAGTCTTGCCACTCTGGTTCGGCTCTCGGTACGTGTCCTATTTGATTCACAATTTATAGTTTTGCCGTGATGTTGAAACCTGTATCATTAGATCTTCCTTACATGGTATGTACAACTTTACTTCATTACCCGCCACCTTGTTATTTACACTTTCTTTGACCTAGTATTCCACCGAAGGAAAGATCAAAGAACCTAATCTCGCAGCTGAAGCAGGTCAAGGTCTCCTTTCCGCCGTCTCATCCTACGCTCGTGGTGATATGGGAGGCGTATTTTCTTCGGTCACTGGACTGCTTAAGACAGCTACCGGCAGCTCTCAAAAGGCTGAACGGTACGCCAGGGCGACTAAGACAAGCCCAGCTGATTGTGTATGTCCGATTTATGTATTGCTAACGGTTTGATGTTTAAACCATTCTGCCAATTTCAAAGATTTCTTGGAGTGGCTGCAAGGACTCGCAAACTAGTGCAGACACGCAGGAAGCGGGCAGGGCAACGGGCGCCATGAGCTATGTGAGTCACGCTGAAGTCATACAATCCCCTTTCGAATCTTAAGCTTATATTCTCTTCAGGCATTTATCACTGCACTCAGTGCGTGATCTCTTTCCCGTATTCCGTGCTTGCTATCCTACATGCTGACCAACACTATGTTATAGGCCAGAACCCCCAGCAGAGCTACCAACAACTCCTTGGTTCCCTCAGGTGAGACAATTATATCTGTTCCAGAGCGTTGTCTGAGGATCAATCGACCAGGGAAATTCTTCGGGCCAAGTATAGCCAGCAGCCTCAGGTACATATTATGCTTATGCCTACTTTTTTTTTTCCCGTGCTAAACTCCTTCTCATCGCAATTAGTTGTCCAGCTCACATCCCATGGTATGTATTCTCGTGTGCTGGAGGCACATATGCTGACCCTGGTTCTCATAGGATACTAGCCTCCTCTTCATCGCATAACCGCCAAGTTCAGGCCTTGACACACTTTTGTATGTGAACGCGTTTTGCTGTACATTCTACGTGTGAGGTCGATTCAAGTGAAGGCAATATATACAAGAATTGTGACAACTAGATCATACACAGTCAAAGAGATTGGCTCTGTTCATTAATAATGTGGCGGACCTGTACTTGAACTATAGTAAGCCGTAAGGTAACAAAGAAATGTATATCCGAGACAATCATGATGATTTACACTGCACGCTGACGATCTGAGCCTGACCATGGTCGCCATAGGGGATCTGTGATGGCGATTTCTTCAGGTTATTCTCGTCAGCTTCTATGATTGACGAAGGTGATGACTGAAGAGACTTCCAGTCGAGGACAAGGGCTGTCAATTCGCGCTCGTAAACCTAAGTAAACAAAATGTCAAATTAAATCAACGCACACTGACAAATTGTTACTTACACAACCTGTATCCAATCCAATGGACCACCTATTCACATCCAAATCTCTGTATGCTGCATGCCCATAGACAACCGTCGACGGATAACAGGGAAGCTGATCGAGATCGTCATCGAGTGACACAAATCTGTTGTCCGAGTTAACAGCGAAGGAGTTTATTCTAGTGCCAACAAACCCAGAACAACGATCCATAATGCGATTCCACGACTTCGCCCATGGCGAGCCTTTCGTGTTACTCTTCGTTATCTTGCCATTCTTCTTGATACTCCTCATGTTCATGAGAACCCACGGATCCTTGTTCTGTGGAATATCGCTAAGAAGAGCCTTCTCTTGCAGGCTCCTAAGAAGTGATACATTCGTGTGAGCTTGGGGGAGTGTGGGGAAATGAGAAAGAGGCTGGTCGGGATGTGACGGTTTGTGCTTTAGGTCATAGGCCAAGAGTCCTGCGTGTACGAAGTAGGTGTGCGCTTCCGGTGCGTGCAGGATAAGAGGGAGCGACGCAAGGTATTCATAGTGGTCTTGTGACATCGCTCGAGCGATCTCGAAGTGTTTCCTGTGGATTTTCCAATCATCGGGGATCTTGTTTAGCCATTTCTTGTTACCCTTCTCCTGCTTCAGCCACTTCTTGAATTTGAAATTAGAGTCTTCGTCTGTCCCAAACAGCTTATCATCGACTTGAGCTAACCACGCCTGTCCGCCAGGAAGTAGCGAGATCCAGTTGATCCAGGTTCGCCACTGGATAATTTCATGATCATTGTTGCCCCGGACCCCGAGGATGGCGTTGTTTGCCATGAAAGAAAGTACGGCCAGTGAGTTTGAAAGGGATGATCGAACGGCTATGTCCCCGAGATGTATCAACGTGTCCTGGTTTGGGTCGTATGATACTTTCTTTAATAAAGAGCTGAGAAAGACATGTAAACACCGATCATACTAGTATATGAAAGACAAAGGGGCGAACTACATACTGAAGTGACTGATTCATGCCATGGATGTCTCCGACAGCAATGATCCGTTTAGTAGTGTCATCTACGTCGAGATGAGTCTTGAATGTGCATTCCAGAAGATAAGACCCTACCGGTAGGGATGTGTTCTGCAGGCAATGTCTTGGACAGAACGTAGTGGTTGAAATCAGGCCTTCCTAATGTAGACCGTCATTCCCAACGTTAATGGAGCAAAGAAAGAAAACACACTATCATCCTTGAGCCCAGACCACGCTTCCTTTACTTGATCAGCGATAACATAACTAAAACAAAACAAGACAAATATGACCAGTGCAGAATATGTCAGGATAGGGCGAGAAAAGGTTTGCTGACGAGTGACCCGAAACATGTGGAGATGTAATCAAGTAAGAAACGGACGAGTCGGTATCAAGAGACTTCAGTAGTTCATTTGGACCAGAGGGGGAAGAGTGAGAGGTCTATATAGGAACTGAATATAAATATGCTATAAAATTAAATACGAGACCAGCTTGTCCGCTTCAAGTTTTTGAACCCCGCGTCAGCCTCACAGTCTGTGCGGGCACCTCTTATGATCAGCCCAGTGGGCAGGGGCCAGGACACAGAGCAAGCAATAGCGTCGCATCTTTTCTAATAATATCTCACTTGCACAGCAGAAACCACGAGGAAATTCTCATCTGCAATGAAATATACGTAAATCGAGAGTGAATATATTACCCTCGACACCGATGGATGGAAGATAGGTATCAATGCTGTAATATTCGCAAAAATATTCTGCCAGTGGAATGATATGATTGGTGAGGCTATCATTCCTCGTTTCCGTTGGCTTCTCCTCTACTGGTGATGATACCTTCCATCTGCAGCCTCCTATCTATCTCGACATAGTCTTTGTTGCTCTCAGCCCCCTTACCAACCCATTTCCATGCGTTATACTTGACAAATTCCTCAAAGGACCACAACTGGGCACGAAGCTCAGATAAGGGCTTGCACCATACATATGTCGCCGCTTTGATGGGTTCAGCCAGATCGGCTGGGTCAGGGACAGGAGGGGGTGTGGAGGGAACCAGGTCCACACCGGAACCGGAGACGTCAAGGCTGACAAGTGGGGTTAGAGGGTGGACAAGCACCGAATCTCTAATGTATTCCTGTGAAAATGGCGTGAATGACATTGACGCTCAGGTCGGTATCAGAGTGCGCTGACTCACGTCGCCCTCAAAGATATCTAGCAGCTTCATATCTGCCGCTGTGAGACCAGTAACCAGCGACCCGCGTACTGATCGTTCCTCGAGGTCGAGTTCATGATCAAACATAGTCTTACTCCTCGAATATGGGACAATGCCCGGGTAGTCAGCCAACTAATCGTGGTGATAACGACTGTAAGTCAGCCTTTTACTGGCATTTGAACGACGAGTATAGAATCACTTTGACTTGATGTCGAGTATACTCCTGTAAGAGATATACATTAACGATCGTGAAGTGAACAACTTGAAGAAATAAGAGCTTACTGGCAACAAAGCAGCACAAACGTTTAGGTGGGAGCCATCATTCCCGATGACCCGTTTCAGAATTTCCGGATGCAACAACGTTCCATAGAAAAACGCTGCCATCAAGCTCGTTGTAATGATGATCAATGTTATGGGACTTGACAAGGTGGGTTTTATAGAAGCGTGTTTGAAACGTTGCGTTAGAAACGAGGATGCTGACAGGATGCTGAAACGAAGACCGTCAGGAAACTTGGAAGTATGTGAAGCGTGACATCGGCACTAACCTGAACAATAGTGAACCAATTGTAACGAACGATGCGTTATCGCGAACTCCCACTGTAGACCCGCTGGCTGTGATAGCATTCTAAGCAGGAAGACAGGGAAGGCAGGGAAGCACTCATTAGTGAGTCAGGATGTCCCGTGGCCGAAGCGAGATTAGATTACGTGCACGTGCCAGGACCTCGGGGTGCTATCCCCGAATATCACACTTGGGCTCTTACACCGAGGGACAGCGACTCAGACCAGCCTTAGGATCATGGCAGCACTCGAGCTAAGGTCAACATTTGCAAAGCATCTCGACGTGGAGGCACTCTACAAGACAGACCCACCAAAGTTTGGACATGATATGCACAAAGTATTTGGGTTCGATCCCAAGTATATCAATCTAAATCATGGTCAGTCCAATTACAAAATGTGAATGGAGCATCTTTTGATATAATTCTCACTTCGCTTTCTGGCTTATTCAATACATGTTCGGTGCTCACAACCGTGGCATTCACCAGGATCTTATGGCTCTCTCCCGCTCCCAGTGAGAGCAGAATGCGACAGGCTCACATCCGAAATCGAGTCAAGTCCTGATAGATTTCTCCGTCTGATTGGCATAAATCACCTCAACGAAGTGCGCGAGCGCATCGCCAAATTCATAGGTGCCAATACAGACGAAATCGTCATCGTGAATAACGCTTCCCATGGGATCGGTACTATCTTGAGAAACATCGAATGGCACAAAGGCGACATCATCCTTGGAAGTTCGTAGTCGTCGCGTTTTCCTCCTGGGCTCGAGCAGTCGATGCTTACGAAGTGTGTTCTAGCGACGACGACCTATGGTGCGGTCTCTCAAGCGATCAAATATCTCGCTGATATCCCACCCAATCCTGATATTTCAACCTTCAATCTCCAGTTTCCTATCTCTCACTCGGAGATTATAATTGCGTTCCGTGAACACATCCGCAAGCTCACTCAACGCCCCGATGCTCAGGATTATCCTGAGCGAAAGACAGTTGCGGTAATCGATAGTATTGTCTCAAACCCAGGTGCTCGTCTTCCATGGAAGGAGATGGTTAGTATCTGTAAGGAAGCTGGGGTATGGACAGTAGTGGATGCTGCCCATTCCATTGGACAAGAGCCCAACATCAATTTGTCAGAGGCACAACCGGATTTCTGGGTGTCTGTAAGTCTATGATGGAAGATCAGCGCTCTTTGTCCTAATTTCAGGTGGCTAAGTGTTCACTGATAATGCATTCCCCCCCCCCCAGAATTGTCACAAATGGTTGTTATCCAAGCGTGGCTGCGCAGTCCTCTATGTACCGCATAGGTGAAATTTCTTACAACATTTCTTCCTCAAGCGCATCCCACTCACAATCAAGTGTTTCCGGTTGTTTGGTTCAGAAATCAACATATCATCAAATCTCCAATACCCACACCAGTCACATACCTATCTCCTCACGATGAAGATTATCATGGCCCTGAACTATTTACAAAGATGTTCGAATGTAAGATTACCTTATACTTTGTAGAAACTGCGCTTATCCGGCCCAGGGACTGGGACGATTGATTTCGTGCCCTACTTCAGTGTCACAGCAGGTAGGCTCATCTGCGGATTGTCACATTCAATTAAGATATAATTGTCAACTAAACAATTGTCCCAGTTTTTGACTTCAGGAAATGGATAGGAGGAGAAGAAAAGATATACGAATATTGCCATAATCTTGCCTTGACAGGCGGAAAGCGTCTCGCACAAATCATGGGAACAAGCGTGATGGATGAGGATGGAGAGCTAACGTATAACATGGTATGTGTTTGGAACGTCGCTCCTCAAACATAAACTAACGTTACAGATATGGCTCCCAGGTCAATGTAGAACTCCCTATACCAGGGACCATCCAACCCACCAGTGAAATCGATGCTTTGATCAAAACAAGGTTGTTGTTGGATCGGAATATGTACGCAGCACATTTCCACCATAACGGGAAGTGGTGGACCAGATGTAGCACTCAAATCTGGAACGAGGTCTGTCCTTCAACCTCGATAGAATTGAAATTCACCTCATATTTTACTATTTAGATATCCGACTTTGAGGCCTTAGGGGAGGCATTCAACGATATTTCGCTTGAAGTCGTAAAGTCTGCTGGCAATCAGCAGTAAGCGAATTGATTGTCAGGCGCTATATATTAATAACCAAAGGGAAGTGTTACTTGTACAACAGATAACAGGTGTATTGTATCGTGAACGTTAGCTCTCGAGAGTTCTAATTTCACGAAGGCCAACCTCTTGACCGTTGCAGACTCACAGTATCGTTATCGATAGCGCACATAGTCCGCTTCGCAAGCCCACGAAATTTTATAAGAACTTACTTATCAATGAGTCGAGTTTGTGTACACGAGCCTGACAGTATCCCTTCTCATAATCCTTGTTAATAGGATAAGCAGGGACTACATGCGACATCTATACTATAACGTTTGTTTCATATGTCCTGTCTATATTTTCATACTTTTCTGGCTTATTAAAACCCTATTCATTCCACTCGTCGACTCTTCCTCCTCCTATAAAAGCTCCTATAAACAATCCTTTCCAAGTCTAACGAAGCTAGAATGCAGATTATTCGTACAGTTCCACCATTCATTGTACAACTGTTAGCTTGTAATGAATTAGTTAGTTTCATATTCGCTGAGTTTGATTTCAAGATTTTGCAAAAAGAGATTTCGTGACTCAGACTGAGACCATCAGCTACTCTTTGAACGGTTTACGCGATAATATTTATTGTATTTCTATAAACACTTCTATGTCTTCCTGCGGAAACCCGGCGACTGAGGTCGATGCATTAATGCCTCGTAAGTACCACCTTTGATCACCACAGTTCACTATTGATCATGTACCAGGACGCCTCAAGTTTGACCGATCTAAAGATTGTGTTAGATGTAAAGAAAAGCCAGGGAATATTGTGATTCGTCATGCCGTCTATTGCAAGTTCGTGAGCCAAACTCGTTCCTTCTTGCATTGGTATTTACTATACTCATTACAGAGACTGCTTTACGCCTCTGGTCAACATGAAGTTCAGAAAGGTTTTACAACCGTGTATCAATAAAACCATTAGTTCCTCTCGGCGAAGCAAGGTCAAAGCCGACGGAAATCTTCTGATATCATGCTCCGGTGGTCTCGGCTCCTCCGTTCTCCTTGATCTCGTCCATCGTTCATATTTCTCAAATCGACCTCCAATGGGAGAGGATGGAAAACCTCTGGGCGGGAAGGATCATCCGAGGAACGAAACTGTGTGGAAATCAGCTGCTGTGTGTTATGTCGAGATCTGTAATGCTTACCCAGAGGTACGTAGCTTTCTAACATCGTACATGGAGCCAGGACCTACTTAATGCGATAGATGCGAGATAGGACTGAAGATGTTCGTGCTGTTGTTGAGAGCTATCCTGGATTCGAGTTCATTCCAATACGTCTCGAAAACGCTTTTGATGCATCTTGGTGGGAGAGTTTGGGTTGTCGACTCCATGATAAGCAATTTGCCGTTAATTTCTCAGATGAAGGTAAGGAGCCCTGAAAACCATTTAACTTGCGATCTTACCCTTTTCTAGGCCTTCCACTTTCTTCGTTGTCTACTCCTACTTCGAATTCGACGCCATTAGAGGGCTTGCGCGGATATCTAACTTCTCTTCCAACCCAAACTGCCATTTTTAGTGCGATAAAAACTCTAGTGCGCGTGCTCACTATGTATACAGCTCGCCGTACACGATCCTCACATCTACTCTTGGGAACATCATTAACATCTCTGTCCGTCTCTCTTATTTCATCAATTTCGCAAGGAGGGGGTTACGCCCTACGGGAAGAGTTGCAAGAGGAGTGGTCTTCCGAGCACGATGACAACACGGAATTGAAGGATATGTTGAATTCGGTTCGAGTGGTGAGGCCGCTAAGAGATATTGTCATGAAAGAATGCGCTGCATACGCAAGGTGGAACAACGTCAAAGTCGTCGGTCGCGAGAAGCTATCGGGCGCCAATCATGGCATCGGCGGACTCACAAAAGGTGCGCTGCTGTATTATGCGGACTCTTGATATAAGATATTCAATGATGTGTGAAGATTTCATCGTTGGGCTAGAAAGGGATTATCCATCCACTGTCTCAACTATTGCTCGTACATGTGCTAAACTCGCGCCCAAAGACAATCCTGATGGAATTTGTCTCTTATGTCAACGGTACACTCTCTTTGGTTCTAGCGTGGTTGACGTTCTAATTTTTGCCTCAGACCACGTCAGAAAGGGATCCAGGAGTGGAAAACACGAATTTCGATACGATCATATGATGACGCAAAACTGGCTTCCGATTCGCACATACCTGCGCATGCACATCCCTCTGCCGAAACTGATCAATGTTGCTCAAGACGAATATTCCCTTCATCATTTACGCCATATCTGTGCTATTTCTGTCATACAACCCTGACGAGTCGGAGTAGCCGCAGTGGCAAGTTATTCACCTTGTCCAAGGGCAATGCATCAAATCATACGACTGTCTCACTCCCAGGCTATGTTAGCGCTGGTCTGTCAAATCTTGGACCTGGAGGCGATCAAGTTTATCCAGCTGGTGGCAAAGAGATAGGTGAAATGGAGATCTGGGAACGAAAGAAAACAAGTTTAGCTGACATGAAAGGCACTGTCGCTGAATTTTTGCTTGACGATTAGCTTGATAAGTTAGTTTGTAGGGCATGTATCTCCATGCACGATATTCATTAGGACGCCTTAACGGGAGCTTTGTAGTCTCGTGGCGCAAAAGTCGTCAACTGTGCACAATATATTATATCTCAGGTAATAATTAAAGTATATGCAGAATCGCTGAATATAAACAAGCAAAGAGTGTACGTCCCATCTGTGCCGTATCAAAGGGACACAGTGGTCACTGTATACCAAATTAAAGTAATCATACTCAATCTGAAATTAAGCCTTATAATTTGGATCCCACGCAGTTCTGTATGTCTGCTCAGGATTGTAGACAGGATCATTGTGAACCAGATGCATCTCGTCTGCTCCTTGGGGCGTCGGATCCGAAATCGAACGGTAGCTTTGACTAACGGGCCAGATTTGCTGAGGTCCGGCATTATTGCGATTGTTGCGTCTGCGACAGAGGCACATACAGCACAGGCCGAGAAGCAGCAGGCCGATGACCACACAGACCACAATGACACCAATGATCCAGGCTGCGATCTTCTTTCCAGTCGATTTGGTGGTCTTTCTGAGAAGATCGTTTGCCAAGAGGCTCGTTCCATTTTTACGCTGCTGCGCGAATTCTTCACTTGCTTGGGTGGCGTTGGTCACAGAAAGCAGCTGGATATAAGGAGGAGCGGTGGTTCTGTTTGAACCATCCACGAAATCACCCAAGTCAACGAGAAGGTAAGCATTTCTTACTGCAAGCACAGTCAACAAATAATCCTAGAACAAATTGAAATCAAACTTACGAAATGCCATGCCCAACATCATGTCATACAAGGGGCCAGTGATACTCTCTTCGACAACATACGAGAAAGGCTGAAACTATCAAAATGGTGAGAAAGATGAGCACATCCGAGGTAGACGACATACTGCTCCGACACAAAAGTCATCCCTGACGGCGAAATTTAGGTCAAGCGGATGAATTGGGTAGTGGACGCCACCGAAGATGAAGGTTGCGTTTATTTCCTCGTCACATGGGACTACCCAGAATGTCCCGCCTAGCTCCGTAACGTTCTGAAGCGAAGACCCATTGACCTTACCGTAGATGGCTTCAGCGACATATCTGAAAATGAAATGAAAACGCGTAATTGATCAACATATAAAGTTCTCACTCTGGTATTTGAGGGTAAGTGTATCCAGTATCAAAGGCAACCGTCGCTTTATTAGGATCAATACTGTTGTTGACTACAGTCTTGATAGGAATAGTTTCTCCGTCGGGGCCAATGATACCATTTTGATCGAGTAATGTCTGCCAATGTTGGCCGAGATGTACAGAGTCCATAGTGAAGTTCCCGATAGTGACATCCAGCTTGGGCTGATTAAGGATACCAGTGTAATTAGACAGGACCTCTCCGACGGTTAATTCCCCAGGGTAAGGCTCTTCAGGATCATCTGACCTTCCAAGTAAAACAGAGAGATAATTGGGGGTAGATGTATTTTGTCTGAATATTCTGTCCAGTGGAGGATCTGCGGCAGAGCTGTTGCCTAAGAAGCGAATCATGGATCCCTGGCCAGGACCAAGACCAATAAGAACATCCAACCCTACGGAATTATTTGCCTCAGGTACCAACACTGCAATAAATAGATCTCTAGCTATAGCATACAGACGAGAAATATCGGAAACCTACTGAAAAATTGGTCGGGCACTTCATACCCAGCAAATTCAAGTGTTGCAGCTTGGACAGTCCCTGAAGCAGTACCCAAAAAGTAAGCGGTCGGAAAATAATGATATATGAGAATATGTACCAGATACTTGACCACCATCGTATATCAGAGTTGAGTTGAAGCCTTGATCCTTAGCCCCCGGTATATTGTATATGACCCACAGATCAGAGCTGCACCAAGGGTCATGAGCTACATTATAATCGCAGACTTATCTACCCAGCTTACCTTCCTGTATCAATCATCGCCTGGAAAGTCTCTCCATTCAAAGTGATGTCCGCCGAGTACATCAGGTTTTGACTATCATTGAGACGAGAGGTATGGCTAGATATGCTGCTCCGACGATGAAAACCGGATCCTGGGGTTACTGGCCTGCCTCGAAGGCTCAATCGAGCCGCATGAACACCATCAAATAGCGCAAGGAGGGCGAAGGGAAGAATTAAAATTTGAAACATGACAAGCAAAACTTGGAAATGAAAGGACAAGGATAAAACGACTCCACGCAGATGTGCTGCCTTGATAGCCTAGTTTTATCCTGAGCGAAAAGGACGATGTAGCAAAGTGTGTCGAACAGTGGCATTTTAGTATGACTTGCGGAACACAGCCGTCACGAGGCTGTTCTACTACTCGTCGCGTTGTTTTGGGCAATCGACGTTGTCATAATATAATCCTGTAGCAACTGAGCACAGATTGAAGACGTGCTGTGTAAAAGTATGGCACAAAAGGGAAACTCGGTGACGGCATGGGCGCTGCAAACCATGTAGAATTGAGTTTACCAGCGCGCAATGTACCCCGCCGGGCATCACGGGCCTCGAGAAGTAGCATTGGCTAAAATTGAGACCGAAGAAGCATTGCCGTTTGGCCAAGGAAAAACACACATACATATGTTATTGTATTCCACTGTCATTCCGCTGAGAATTCCTAATATTTGAATCATGATGTATTGATATCGCCGTAGTAGAGGTATGACGACGAAGGTTGTCATAATATCCCAACATGTTTAACCTTGTTCGACCTCAAGACCTGAAAAGCGAGATAATGGGATTTTTCCAGGGAGATTCAAGCTGGAGCTAAGCGGCAATTCTAGACCTTCCTTACTTGGATCAGTATAAATTTTGTCGTAATCTGAACGCCAAGCGGGTTTCTAGCCACAACCACTGCCAGCCAACTTGCCACCCCGAGGTTTCCTGAAGCTGAAGAGCTGACGACACGACAACGTCTTTATTTTATTTACCATGTTGAGCGAGGACATCGAAATCACCCAGGACGAACAGTATAACGGTTCCAAGAAGAACACCCTTCTGAAATCCCATGGCAGACCACCATGGCAAGTCACGAATGTTTAAGTTCTATCCGGATTATGAGACTCAAGTGTCGCATGTAGGTACGGTGAAGACGGTTTGCCGATATGTGATGCGTTTGTGATAGGTGTTGCTGGTAAGCAATCCTCAAAACTCTTGAGGCCACGAATTATCGAAGCAGAAGCACGTCACAGGTGGTTCTGCCAGTGGAAAGGTGAAGAGTTCGATCTTCTTCCGCCGTGTTGGTTTAGTATAGTGCCGCCTGATACCGTAAGATTCGTAGACACACGTCGCACAGCAAATCGTACGTTCACTGGGTTCCGTACCTACGATTGTCATATTATCTCAGGTCAGTATTCAACGCTCTTCATGTCGATTTCTTGATTAATGGCGTGATCTTCTACAGGACAGCTTCTATAAGTGGCACAATGAGGAGGAAGTGGCTTTGGCCCACGCGAACCGTATGGATTTTGACCATCCAGATGCAATTGATATGCCGATGTTTGCTGCTGTGGGTTTTTATAGCATCTTCTTTCGTGTCCAAGTGCTCTAGTTCTTTAAGAAACCCTATTTTTCATATTTCTTTTTATAGTGCCTCGCCGACCTGAAAGCCTGTCGACAAACGAATATTCCCATCTATTCCTTCACCGAGCATCAACGGCTGGACGAGAAGAAATATCTGTATGGGGCTGCTATCATAATAGGCAACAGCTTTCTGGTCCCTGCACTATCTGTCGCTGATGTTGTTTGATGTTGCGTTATGAAGCGGAGGGTATCATGGCTCTTCACGATCCGAAACTCAGAGCACTATATGACTTGAAAGTATGCTGTTTCTTTGATTCTGTGATATATAGACTGACCAGAGGGAAAAGGTCTTCGTTCAGTGTGATTCAGACTTAATGCTCGCACGACGGATACAGAGGGATGTCAAGGAGCGTGGGCGAAGTGTCGAAGGCGTTCTTGAACAGTTGGTGAAAGTCTCAGCTTTGAATGAAAAAGAGCCTGATTTTGAGTCGCAGATATCTTCGTTTCGTCAAACCTGCTTTTGACAATTTCGTTTTGCCAACCTCACGACATGCTGATATTGTAAATTTATTCTTTTCCACTTTAAAGACTTCAGGACATTGACAGTGGTGTGTATCAACAGATCGTCCCAGGTTCTGACAATTCTGTTGCCATTGAACTCATATCGACTCATATACGCCGGCAAATGAACGATCGTGCAAGGCATTTCCGTAAGAACATGGCAACATCTAGCCTTAATGGCTGCCTATCCGAAAGCAACATGCAGCAATTGAATTTGGTCACTCTTCCTCCGACTCCACAGCTTAAGGTTACACATGGAATTTTTCGGTCATTTCAGGTTTATTAATGAATCTGGCGATTTCAGGGCATGTATACAATTTTGCGTGACGAAACGACGAGTCGCCAAGATTTTATATTCTTTGTTGATCGTCTAGCTACCTTCTTAATCGAGAAGGCTATGGAGCATTTACCTTACCGTCCCAAGTTCGTTACGACGCCTACGGGGTCAGAGTCGTGTGGCAAAGAACTGGACACAAAAGCGAGTACTTCATAAATGACCATTCATAATCGTCTCATGGTGTCATATCTATAGTATATTTGTGGGGTTTCTATAATACGATCGTGGGTGCTATCCCTTGTCCCTTGTGAATCTGTACTGATCTTTTTCCAGGGGCGGACCTCTAGAACGCGGATTAGAGCGGGTCCTCAGTCACGCCCCAATGGGCTCTCTCCTTGTGCAATCAGACGCAAAAACAGGAGAGCCTCTTCTACTCCATGTGATGCTTCCAACCTGCATCCGTGAACGCCATAAAGCAGTCGATACTTGGGTGTTTTTACTTGACGCACAGGTCGGCCTTTGCACCATCCTGTGCTTTCATGTAGCTTATAGCATTTTTAGATCGGTACAGGCGCTTCAGCATTCATGGCGATCCGCACCCTTCTCGATCATGGCGTCCGACAAGACCGCATCATCTTTGTTACATTCCTGGTAGCTAGGAGCGGCGGCTTGTCAGTTCTCACACGAGCTTTTCCTGATGTTAAGATAATCTGCGGCGCTGTCGATGACAGTTTGAGGGAAGCTTGGCTAGACAACTATGAAGGGGAGGGACATCATGGAGGTGACGGTCGTAAGGTATGGATCATGGAGCCTGGAATGGGGCAAATAGGTAAGCGTGATTCTTCAATGTCTTGAACTCTCAGAAACATCTCAGCGCCACCTACACTAGGGGATCGCTACTACTTATGACCTGTGTTTTCCTTAAAATCTAGCATTCTATCATTGGGAATGTCCTCATCGGACTGGTAGTTATCTTTAGACTTGACATTTATATTGCATCATGTCGTGTAGTATATAGGCATCATAGCTTCATTAGGATGGAATGGACGCTCTTTGCTAGTTTTCGTGCCACGCGCAAGCAAGTAAACGACCTCTTTTCCATTACAAACATGGTCACTATGGATCAAAGAAAATCTATCTAATCGATATTAGCAGCTGCGAGGCCACATGGAAGGTAGATATAGTAGTGTAAAGTCCGTATAGATTGGCAGAGTAGAATGTAAGGTGTTGAAAGAATGTAGTAGATACAAGTAGTTAAAAAAAGAAAGTTAGGAACATGTCCGAGTGTAACTAGATACAAGAAATACATCTGGGTAGGAGAGATTATAGGCATGATGGTGGTGAAGGCGTTGTCAATATTACGGTGTAGCACACGTGGCTAACTGACTTGAAAAAGTGGACCCTGGATACCGAGGTTATTAGTAACAGAGATGATGATAAATGTAAGTGCGTCTCTCACCGGGATAGAACCAGAATGAAATAGCAATGATGATATAAAGGACTGTCCGAGTTTCAATTCACAAATCACAGAAACGAACGAAGGCAATGAGCTCACACATCAAGATGATCCCTTCTAGCCAGTTTGATTTCCCGTCTGCTGTGACATAGGTCATGGTTTGCACTGGCAGTAGGATGAGTTTATCAGGATTACTATCACATGGGGGATATTTACAAACCTGATATATAAAGAACCTACAGTAGGATGGTTATTGTTATTCGAATCAAACTATGGAGTATAGCTTAAATCCACTTACTACAGATTCGAAAGGGTCGAAGAGAAGGGCTAGGGGCTTTTGCATTACCCAGCCAAGGAGGACAGTGAATCTATTAAAAATCCGATATGTACCCTTAAATTTCATGAGTCGACGCATAAAGCTTACGGAACAACTAGAAGGGCCATTTGCTGTAAATTATACGTCAGTGTCAATTGTGTGTAATCTTCAGCTTTAACATACAATAGCGGATCCAACTGCAACACTAACGCTCAGCGTCAGCTGATCCTTGACTGAAACATTTACAGCAGTCACACATTCTATCATCTCTCGAACTCAGTAATCGAAAGTTCCCCAAGATGACAAGGAGATTTACCTGCAATGGAGCTTACGGCTGGCAAGAGAATAAGACCTATCCACTGTTTGCTGATTGTCATCGAGATCCCGTCCATAGACTCCACCAAGTCCTCTGCAGTGACAGCAACAGCCTAATAATAGCCGATAGTGAGATAGTAGACATATCAATAGACTGGTAAAAGCCTCACAACAGTTACAACGACCAAGAGGGTAAGTGTCATTGTCCAGCTAAGTTTCGGTTCCTTTGGAGTTGGTATTTCCGAGCTAGGAGACTGTGGCAATTCTTGAATTTTCATGGGTTCAGGTTCAAGTGTTAACGTAGTCTGAGATGTGATCCTTTCTATGGTCGGGGCCCTAATTCTTTCCTTACGACTTCTAATGCCGCGCATTTCCTGAGAGCTTTCTATGGCAGCAGGCATGATATCTCCTTCTGGGCTGGTTATCGTTGCCTCAGAGGTTGACCCCAAGGCTGAGCTGGCATACGAAGTTCTGTACAATGGGGATGGTTTCGACAGAGTAAAAGGTCTGGACGTGGAATGTAAGCTCCATCGACCGGCTAAGCTTGCTGTATCCCCATCTGACGAGGTCAGTCGCTTCTCGAGACGAGAGAAAGGATCGATTGGTATCTTGACAGATAGCTTGTTACTATTCTTCTTCGCATCCTTGTATAAGTGTGGGTGGGACCACAATTGAAAAAGGAGGTAGGCAGCATAGACTGTGACATTCCAATACGAGTAAGGATCTAGCGCAAGTTTTACATGGTTCCACTTAACTAATCAACAGAACAATGGATACCTGAGTGGTAAGAAATTTGTAAGATTTTGAACATTCAGTATGAACACTGAAACTTAAACTTACACCATGGCTCATACGAAGTATGTCTCTCTTCTGCTCGACCGATCCGAAATCTCTGTTGCCACTGATTGCAAAATGGTATGCAGCGGGGAGAAGTAAGGCGCCGGTACTGAGACTAAGGAGAGAGGAATGTATTTGGGTGGCAGCTATCAATGCATATGTATCGACGAAATAAGCCAGTGCAACCATTATATTTCAGTAACGCACTCACTGTGATCAAGTTCCTGCTCTGAAAACCGGAGCCCACCAGCAAAAAAACACATTCCCAGAACCAGCACTTTATTGTAAGTTAAAAAATATTTTTTACTAATCATGAGTGAATATATTACGAAGTTTGCTTAGTATAGAGCCGACCACTAGTAAAATGTGAGAGAGGTACGCGTGGGTGTAGTGATAGTGCGGACGTACGTGAGGATTGTACGACATTGAGCTCGCATTTCCTCAGTGCACTGATCTGATTTGCGCCTGTCAATTTGTAAAAGGTGTCAAATAAACTATGATCTACTCACTGCGATGACCAGTTCGACCCTATACGAAAAGTTGCAACCATTTATTATTCCTGAAAATTTGATTTGATAAAGCAAACGTACGTGTTACTCTGGAATTGATTTGAATTAGAATAAATATCAGTGATTGCATTAAACAATTACCAGGCTGGCATTGAGCAGACCTGCTTTGGTGCCACCCAAGCGTGATGCTAGTTCGTGTGTTCCCAGATCATGAAGCTTGTGACGAACGTTAGAGGTACTGTCACAAATAGCTAACGTGGTTGCCAGGAAATTTCGATGAAACCTACCTTCACCAAGGGTATCATTGAAAGGACTGAAACTAAAAAAAAAATCTGATGTGAAAGGAGCGGGCAAGGGCAAGGTGAGGGAACTTACGAATGAATACTAGTGTGTGTGACTCATCGAGGTCAAGACCTATAATCCACTCCATGTGCCAATCAAAGCATCAGTCGTTGGGGTAGGCTAGGAGCACGTAGAACCAAACTCACAGAAACCGGAATAAGGAAAAGCAAGACATTTAGCCCTGCAGCATATATGTATGTCAATGTGAAGATCGGTTTCGGTTATTAGTAGGTAGCGAACACACGTACATGAACCAAAAACGATCAACCTCCAACCATGCCATATACTTGTCACGTCTGCGGCACTTTGACCTCTCTCTGATATTCCCTTGCCAAAAGATGATCGTACACATGAAATGAGGGACCATGGAAAACCTGATCTCTTCATCTCCGCTTCCTTGTGCAAAGGTGCGCCATTCTCCAGGTCCATTAGGTTAGCAGTTGAATCGCACGATAGTGCAGAAAGGCGAGTATCTACACGGAAAGGAGGTAAAGGCTGCAAACCATCGTGTAAAGGAACATCGGAAAAACTTTGGTCGTCGCGGTACTCCTGCTCAGCAACAGGTGGTGAGTTACTTCTGCTGTCTGGCACGCCGAGTGTAGCAGACTTCACAGAGGCGGGTGACATCAAGCTTGAAGAGATACCGAATGGTGCAGTTGACGGAGACTTGCCCCCACTTGCCTTCAGACCAGGCTGAGCGTGGATGTTGTTTGAAAAACGATAGTGAGGACAGCTTAAACGAAGTTCAATTTTAGCGAGACCTCCATGAATGCCTGCCGAGGCTAAGAGCGGAGGATTCCAGCGTTCGCCGTAAATCTATTCTAGCATTTTGTTTTATGCGTTCGTAAAGACTTGCCTTTTGTGGACTAGCTTGAGGGCCAGAACCACAAATCTTCATTTTTGTTATCTGCTTCGTCGTTACTGTGTCTATCTCACATTTTCAGCAATTGCTTCATTTGCGCTTTTGCTGGTATGGCTATCGTCACTGATATATGAACGCACTTAGATATTGTATAGCAAGGACTGGTGGATAACACTAATACAAGACCGTTATACATGCTCGATGACACAGGAGCTTAATAAGACTCATCGACGATGGCTAGATGCTAGCATGATCTGAGCGCTAACACATACTGAGTGTATGTATAACGGCAACATCGATAGCCATTTGCCAATCATCACTTGGAATACAGTCCACGAGATTGATGTTCTGGCTATCGATAAATGTACCTCCGAGTTAATCCTGGAACTGGACAACCAGAGTCGTTCAGACCTAATACTGGATGCACAAGAAAAAGACAAGAAAATTTCGGTGCACTTGAACGTTTAGAAAGAGATTTTTGCTGGAAGGAGTCGGAGGTATGCGGAATAAAGCGGCATGGTAACGCTGGTCACAGTGAGTGACAACCGCCTGTCACGTTCTTTACCTCGCATTTCTCCTCCCTCCGTTCATCTTTACAACCGCCAACCATGTTCCAAGCCGCACTGCGTGCTGCTGCCCGACCAGCGGCTCTTGCGTCGCGCTCTGCGCTCAAACCATCCAGCGCAAGCCTTCGCGCGCTATCCACGACTGCCAGCCGTCTTTCAGGACCCGCTGCTCCTTCGCTCTACGGCCCTGGCTCAAAAGCCGGTGAGATCCCATCAGACGAGACCCAGGCGACAGGTCTCGAGCGTTTCCAGCTTCTTGGAGAAATAGAGGGTGTCGATTCATTCGACTTGGAGCCTTTGGATGCGAGCCGCGTAGGAACATTGGAAAACCCTATCAAAGTGTTCTCATTGGTATGTATTTTACTAGACTCTCAAAGGGATTCCATCTCTTATATCATGCGGCTATCCTCTTACTCACTTCTGATGAAAATCATACTCAGGATACGGAACGCATTGTTGGATGTACCGGCTCTCCCGCAGACTCACATGAGCTTCACTGGTTTACAGTAAAGCATGACAAAACCCGCCGTTGTGCTGAGTGTGGTTCTGGTGAGTTCAAAGGTTTATGCGCGAGATGTATTTACTAAGTATTGTTGTAGCCTATGCTCTTGACTTCCAGGGTAGCCTTGACGCTCATGACGCGCATCACTAGACGGAATAGAGGAACGATGGGTTCACCATAGCAAACCTGTAAAGCAGAAAATAAAGATACTTTTTATACTAGTATTGGAATGTTCAACGTCTTTTCTGCAATCTGGAACCCAGCTAATATTTGCGTGTCGCACTGCTGATTAGGCCCAACTTTTTTGTGACCTCGTCACTGTGACGATGTCACATATCATTCTGGGTCAGCTCAATGTTTCTGTTCTGAACTAGCTCAATAACTGGACAGCTTACGTTTCATGGTCCAAGTTCCCTTTCCCCGGTGTAGATACTCTTCATATCGATAGCAGGTAACGAAAAAATCTGTACTTTCAGAGCCCACAAATTTCGATTTTGCATCTTATTTATCCAGCCTGTGCGAGGACTGCGAATGGAACTCTCTGAAAGATATGCAAATCATACTGTACGGGCGACGCGTATGGCTGAGCCAGATCATCTAGGTAATATTCGACATGACTTAGAAGATAATGCCGAACCTCTTTCCTCTGCTCATGTGTTTCACAAATGCCAATCCATCGTGCTCAAACAGACACCACCGTATTTCGCGAAGTTTCCGCACATGAAGTTTTCCCAGCGTCGCCAAGTGAGCTTTCTTCCACTACCAAATACCCGTTCTTTTCCATCTTTAAGTTCTGCGAATGTTCGTAGACGATGGGAGCCAAAGCGTTAGAACTACTCCACACATTACCCGAGGACTATCAGTTTGGACTCTTCCATGTTCTGGAAGCCAACCCGGCCATCCAAATTGCACGTTTGATACATCACGACGCTCTTAATTACGTCCTTATTTAACCCGATCTCGGCTCCCATCCCACGTTGGGCGTATTCCTCTCTGCACCCTCGACGAAACCTTAGCTCGCTTCTCGCGTTGGACACTCAATAGGCCGCTTTCTTGCCATTCTCCACAACGCGGTTGGTTTGGAATCTTTTGTTTCGTCTGAAAACGCTGGACTGATAGAGACCTTGAATAACAATGGTGCCGACTCAGTCTGGCCTGGTGTTTTTAACGTCCTTCATGTAATCATGGACGCTCTTGTCTCTGATTACGAATTACTAGGTGAGCGAGCAAGGGGATCATTGGACCTCCAGAAAAAAAGTGGCATTCAGCCAAGGTGACATCTGGTTCGGTACAATTCTTGTCAGACGAGTCAATGACGCAGACGAACTCAAAATGCCTGTGATCGGTATATGCGACTGGGAATTTGTAGGTGACATAGCACAGCTAGGCAAGTGCGGCTTCTGCAGCTTTTCCTCTTCCCGTTTCGTTGCATCTTTGCTCACGTAGAGCTATAGGCTCGTACCTAAATCTCCCAACGTTATCGCCACTCGTTACGCCACGCACTCGACTTGCCGTCGATGCATTCTCGGTGTCGTTGTATGCGGCCTACTTCTCTTCTACTAAACATCTTCCTCAAGGCGACGTGAAAAACTCAAATTTTATGCAAGTACGTTCTGAATTCCAACGTCCGTTCCTTAGTGGTTGGGAGCTCATTAATGTGGCTGCGTGGAGACACGATATTTGGTGCCCATGTCCGGGAAATGGTGTCAAATGCCCGCGCATTGTCGATATGGTGCAGCAAGGAGCGCTACTCATTAGAGCTGCAGGTGCTATAATGGAAGACGTAGGTTGGAAGATACTTGAAGACGTCGCTTGGGTGACGTTTCTGCGAGTTGTGCTAGAGAGCGAACAAGGTAGGATACATATTCACCGATCAGTAAACTGTTCGAAAAGAAGCTGCTAAAATAGCCCGATTTCGTCGTATCGTTAGCAGATTGTCCGGGAAAGTGGATGTCATATGTGCCCGAGTCAAATTCGATGTGATGCACGCGGAATCCTCGAGGCCGTCCTAGAGGCGACCCCTAGCACCGCTACTATAGTGCTAGTACTGGCAGCGTATAATGTACGTCTAGTACATAACTTCTATTAGGAGTTGCATCGTGCCCATCATGAACGAAAGTACGCAATAAGCTGCAATCGAATGATGGCCGCATCGCAATAGCGTGGTTTTGTGAGCTTCCATGGATGATGTTTATACAACACATGGACATCGCACTGGCCCCTCAGCTTTGCATTTCGTAAATTAAATCCGAGTCAATCGGTGATCGTTATTACCATACGATACTGGTACAGCAGCTGCTAATGCCATAACTACAAATACAAATGTTTTACATTAAATCCAGCGTGTTTGAGGAAAGTTGGTAAAGGAATGATATAGAAAGAAGATTGTCCGTAGGTAGGTAGTGTGAGAGTAATGTGTGTGAGTCTTGTGAGAGTTCCGATCATCCAGAAGAGATCCACGAGGAGGATAACGTGTGAGGGGTGAGCACAGAGTCATCAATCAATTTTACATCATGAGATATGGCACTGAGAATCGTCGAGTACCGGTGGCTTGGATGATGAGGGACCGAAGGTTTTCTGTGTCCAGCCTCTCATTCTGCTACACGCGGGGTCGTCGCGTATATCCATTAACCAGCCCACAGCGGCTCGAATAACACTGCCTTGAGTCAGGGCTTGGTGATACTCAGGGTCTCGTTCTTTCACTATCTGCAACGGAGGTGAATGATTAAATTAAAAAGTGACGAGACATATACCCACTTCTTCGAACAAACGACGGAGTCGGGCACTTTCTTCTGCGCCTTCAATCCACCATTTGCTTGTCGGAGCAAATTGTGGGTCGTTAACTCCACTATAAGACAGCCACGAAGGATATTCGGCTGCAAGAATCGCGGGTTGGATTGAATGAGAGCCCCACCCAAGTATACTAGTTATACGTCCATGATCATCGGTCAAAATATTAGTCTCATCCAAATGATCGTGCATAAGCACAAATCGGCGGAGGCATGGACTATCGTAACTCAACAGTAACTTCCGAATATGAATACCAAGTTCGGAGATAGTACTCTGTGCGCTGAAGACGCTACCAGTGTCATCTTTTTCACCGATGGCATCATGTTTTGTGAGAGTAAAAGCGCGCCTCTTCACGGAAAACAGGTATTTGAGATATTGTTCCAGGGTTTCAAAAACTCGAGGAGCGCCGAGATCGCTGCGCTTCCCGAGCTTCGGTATAACTTCCAGAGCATTAGGGGTGCTCCCGGGAGATATGGAGCCAATTTTATGCGGTACAGGTAATCTGTACAGTTCGAGAACGATATTCGCATATGACCTAACGAGGTCTTCCTGTATTATGTTAGTGCTGATTGAACTAAATTTGTGCGAAAATCGCGCACCTTCGAAGTAGCTGAGAGTAGACCATACATTCTTGTGACGGTATTACCTGAGCTCTTGTCCATTACAAGAAAGTCATGAGGATATTCCGCGTTACTTCGCGTTACGCTGAGTAAACGAGGAACAGGTATCGTCGAATGAATGGTAAGCCATTGCATTGCATTAACTTGACTTTGAAATTTCCTTAGGCTCCAAGCCTCGCCAGATTTGTTTGAAAATGTATGCCGCTGCTCGACGTAAACGCACGAGAAATCGTCTAGGACCGCCTCCAAGGTCTGGTTGGCCACGAATGTGATTCTGTGAGCTGGTTGCTGACAAAGTGGCGCTACATTGACCTACCATATTTGCATCTTTACCTTTCATTTCGCTCTTGGTTTCACAAACCTGGCGTCCTATGCTTTTTTTGATGGCATTTAGTAAAGACTGCCGTTCTGTGGATATGAGTTGACCTTGAGACCAGTCTGCCAGTGGTCCAGTGATATTATCTCGATGGATTTGTTGTCCAGCATGGTTGTATACGAGAGGTATTGTGCTGGACATATCGAGCTAGTTGAGATGGTGGCGCTTGCCGGTTTTACGAGGTCAGGAAGATTAGCTGACTGAAGTTATGTAGTACTGGAAGAAAACAAGCCAAGTGCTATCTTCGGTTTTGTATACGACTTAAGAACCTCCGCTTAAAGTTGAGTTACAGCATTATAGAAGCAAAAAGGCATAGAGGATAAGGACACGAGGTACATCAGACTCTGTTCCCAGTCTGCAGGTGCAAATCAGAAGACCGTGACCCCACAGCATTATCGTCGGCAGAGAGTTCCTAAAGGGGAATACTTGTTTGTTTTCGAAGCCTTTACCAAACAAACTCGAAAATACGCACAACACCGTGACAAATCCACTGGCATAATTAACGCCGCGGCTGCCCTGTGACTTACCATCGACATGGATTATGTGCATTAAATTATAGGTATTTAGCGTTTTATCTTCATTTCTATATTATAATGATAATGTAGGAACCAGCATCTATAGCGTGAGTCGTTTCTTCATGAAAATTTGTACCTTTTCGATGTCTTGCAGTCGCATTCATTCAAAATTGCGAGTGTCACACTTTCAGCTTGCTCCCATTTTCCTTACTCTGGCTAATCCCATAGTTATCTTAAAGTTATTTCCCGCCCATATGATACGAGAACAGATACATCCACGGTTGCGCAGGCCAAATGAAACCAGGTGAGAGAGTAACTCAACATTCTCCACGGAACAAATCATTTTGGGGAAACGGCTATTTTGTGATTTCGGTTTGTGCGTGGTTAGCCGTCCACCATCACTCTGATGGTAGGTCCCTTTCAGCGGAGTTCACCGGTGCACCACCACTCCGAGAAATGTCCATCAACCTCTGCCGCCTCGTGTACGTGCATGCCACCTTGGAAATAGGGCACATCAATCACGGTCCTTTGCAGTGACAGATAACACTTCGCCCTCAACCGCATTCACTCTGGTTCCTTCATCGTCCAATAACAATCAAGCCGTTTTTTTAGGCTATAAAAGGACTTGAAGCAGACTTTCGAGATACCGACTTTCTGGTACTCAGGGTTGAATATTTCCTGCAGGCCATATAGATGCACCAGCAGCACCAAAATCACTATCTATCACTAATGTCTTAACGTCATAGAATACGCCCTCCGAGCGGCGTTCTCACTTCGAAAATACATCCGCAGTACACATTGACACTCGCTATATTTTTATATCGCCACTATAGCCACCAATCCAGCACTATCAGGCCATACGCCGAGACACAGAAAAGTAACACCGCTATGAGGGTTCACAGCAGTCAATGTGAATTGTCGGCCTTTTTACTTTGTACGTATATAAGAACGAGGACTGCCGTCTGCAATTGGCCAATGGGAACTGGTATCACTTCTCTCGGGCTTCGAACTCACCATGGACATCGTGTTTATGGCTCAGGTGGTCCCCCTCACGTTGAGTTGCGAATGTCATGAGACATTATGTAGGTCCAGCCACTATCCCCGACTTGGATGCTCTGTTTATCGACTTCTTTTGGCTCTCGACGGATTCAGCCGCTGCTCCCCGTTCTTAGTCATTTCTGTCGCCACTGCCGTCGCCACTATATGTGCGATAATCTTTGGTATCCAAATACCCCTCGTATTTCCGTCTCGAACAGACTATTATTAAAGCTTGACTTTCTGATCGTGGATATGACATCGCACTCTAATTTCAAATTTGAAACCGGCTCTGCAGGCGGACTTGTTTTTGACTGGCTTCTATAGATTTCTCAAGCTCCCCCGGCAATATGACCTTCACCGACCAGTCTTTATCCAGCAACGGAGTGCACGACCTTGTTGGAAATTCACTCCCTCATTTATCCTGCAATTCCGGAAACTTGGCTGTGCAGTTTAATCTGCCAATTGGGATGTCGTTTTCGTCAATACCACCTTGGCTAGCCTATGCTTTGTAGTCTCTCGGGACCATAATTGCTTTCCATCGTTATGGGCTTCATTAGCAAGCGCGTGGCATACGTTCGAAGCTCAACCAAGAGATGGCTTGAAAGAGTACGACCCCTTTTCACGACTTGGAGAAAGGAGCGCCCCGGAAAACGAGATCCGTATTGATCATGCGTCTATCAACAACGTGTTTCGTTCTCCATTTGTCTGTTTACTTCTCTGCGACTTCCTTTTTCCAATTGGCTCTAGTCTATATACATGGCATTACATTTTGAGTGTGATGGAAGGAAACAAACTATGGAAGGTCCTGTAATCCGGCTCTAATTGTCGCCGCCGTTCACAATGCAAGGTATACGTACAATCACAGCCATTGTGTACTTCCCTTTGGAAAAGCGCCTGAATATCATCGGTACGAGCTGACGATCGTTTGAGGATGCTCCCGTCGATGACCGACAAACATTTTAACGATCTATACATTGAATATCATTGTGGGTAACTCTTACATTCACTGTGGCACTATCAGGACATACTAGTATAGACTATCGTATATACACGCACGCACACTCATAGACAAATCGCTGTAGATTAGAGTGACTGCCGATCTTCACCTATTTCTGGTACACGGTAACTGCAAGATAAGAAACCACAAAACTTGGGTTGGGTGGATGAGACTCCAGCCGCTTTAAAGATATCTGAACGGGGACCCATTGTCTCAGTGTTGAGCGCTAGATGGTGACTCAGATCTGGAGTCTGGGCGGCTGAGACTTACAGAAATGCTTTGATGAAGATAAGCAGAATGTTGTAGAGGTTCCATCACGTTCCACTTTATAATGGTTCGTATTTAATAGGACGGACCTCGGATTTTCTTTACGGACGTTGCTGAGTTAATAGACCTGACTTAATAAATACATAGAATCACGATGATTATGTGCCAATGTTAGACATGCACAAAATATTAGCCAAAGTAGGTTCATAGTAGGGTGACAACTAACGGCGACCTTTGGCTACTGCAATGGAAGAGGCAGTTTGATTTCATGATACATCTGGAAATAAGAATGAATTGTCCAAATTTCTCTGGAAAGTAAAATACCACAAAGTCGTGCGGTATGGATGCTTGGTAGCCGCGTGATATCTCTAAAATCATCAAAACATCGTCTCACTGATGCTCACACATGAAAATTTTGGGCACACCTAACATGTGCAGTTCAGAGACACTGCGACCCACAGTGACCACGGGCTCGATTGAGAAAACAGTGATAGTTTGACTTGAGATCGTACCAGAATGAAAGGTATTATCAGTCTACGATCCAGGGGGCTCGCCTTCTTTGACTATAAGGTCTTTGCCTGTCGCTGTCCAGGGCGATGATGCGGTCGTTGTCGTTGTCGTGGACATGTAAAACCGATTCCAGAGCCTTTATTTTATTTTTTGTCTATACCCATCTCTCTGCGTGCGTCGTTCATTATATGTCGTCCAGAAGTTCCATTATTCATATGCTGCACTTTATGAACAAACAACGATCGATGCGATATTTGCCCTTAGATCCCGTCTCTTCATCAAGTGAAGACCTTATGATGGCTGACATGGCTCTCGTCGAGAGTCAGCCGATTGACATCATCCTTCTCCAGGACGAAGAAACCAACTTGAATGTAGGAGATGTAATGGTGAGCTTCACTTGCGGCAGCATCATTCTTAACACCTGCGAGATTTTTTTTTTCGAAGATCTTGTTGACCTTAATCCTAGACACCCTAGACGTTTCATCTCTTGTGTGCTTTGAAAGCCTCGATGAAAACAAGCTCACCACACATCGGTCATAATGTGTTATCTGTAGGGCTTCATTCTGACTTGTACGCCGTGAGTCTGTTATGAATTCGGCCCTCCAACGCCCAGCGTTGGGACCCTGGCGATCGAATATCTCCGTGAAAGAGACAGAGACCAGTCCACGGCCTTGTGAATACCAGTGACGAGAAAGAGACCTTTGAGCTTGACCCGTCGGAAAGCGCAGTGCTTTACAATTTTTATCCAAGCTCTGCGTTGGCATCTATTTGCTGTAGACCACTTCATATAATTAATTTTTTTGCGAACCACGGATCATGTGTTTTGCCCCTGGATATCATCAAAGCAGTATTCAAACTTGACACTGCTACATGCACTCCTAGAAAAACAATGTGTTAATTTAAAACATTAAATTAAAGCTAATCTGACAGACCTGCCGCTATCTATGGTAATTTTGAGATTCAAGACGCCGATGGACTTGCTGCATAATGATGGAGACAGCCTTTTGGTGACCGCATTGGCTGGGTCTGACATTCTATGATCGATGATATGACGTGTGATTAGCAGACATGTAAGATCCTGGACAATCAGTTGCGTTGGACATGCGACTGAACTGTCCCTGACTAGACGGCTGATTGATAGAAGGGTAGATGGGAAGCGCAATCCTACTTGTTATGGCCTAGATCAGTTAATACAAAGTTGTTCGACGTGACGGTGGCTGGTCCTCATGGCATGCTTGAAAAATATACAAGGTTCCACGGATAGTATCGGTGTGTTCGGTTAAGAACACAGGAAAATTTGGTGTTGGAGCGCGGACACACTGCTTCACATTCTATACTCTGGGAAAGACCCCTGATTTCGTCATTCAGAAATAGTAAAAGCACTCACATAGAACTTGCCCTTGGTACACCACAGCATCAGAGTTATGGAAACTCGTTATTCAGAACACGAGGGAGAAATGGGGCAGTATTGTAAAGACGCTTACTGAAGCAGTGTCGACACCGTGACGAAAACCATGACCATGAAAAGCACGATACAGAAAGCGCGCGCTTGTAAGCAATTAGGCGCGCGTTAACAGTTCACATCCAGACCGTGGGCACTGTAGTGCGTTGAGCGGCAAATGAGGAGCCAATACATGTTCTCCTTACTCACCACACAACGTCACGGTGCTCAGGGTGTCATGCCCAACCGCACATTGGTATCTTTACGGAATGCATCGACGTTACGCTAAGATAAGCTCGGATTTTACCGCATCTGCAAGTTGACATTACTACGACGGACCAGAACGTAGCATATGGAAGAACAAGAAAGATATTGCTCGCCACGGACCAGCAGTGATCATGATATTGGTTCAGACTCAGACTTCAGCGCTTCAGCCACACCTAAAAAGAGTGTTTTGCAGTGTCGCGGTCGCTTCGTATCAAGGACGAAAGAAAACGACCAAATTCTCAAGCACATAGGAGTATGCAGTGCAGAATTGGTCGCCGCCAATGAGTATTCCAGCTCTGAAGCTTCTTTTGCCGCTCATAGCACTCAGCTGCCTGGCACACATCTCCAAACTAGCGCGAGCACACATTCTAGACTAAACTTCACCAAACAGAGACAGAAGAAATGCAGAGATAACGATTACTGGGTGAGATTAATAGCGATACAGATAATATTGTTATACATATGAGGGAGAGGCAAAAAAAGGAGCATAGAACATACATAGCGCTAGGGTGCAAAAAATGATATTGTAAGTAAAAGGGAGCTGAGACATGCGCCTGTGTCTTCAAAATCTAAAAGTCTAGGATTTGCTACAAGATAAAATGCGACATCATGCAGTGAAAAAGCGCAATGACTGAAAGCTGGGATAACAAAGGAAAGCAAACACAAAGGTATATACACAGTGCTGGAACCTCAAAAGGAGTGTCCATCCAAATTAACGGCCGATGGCATTAATATATTATAAATTATTAATTCCTACAGTGACTTTGTAAGCACGGGCACGGGTCTTTAAGGCAATGCACTATACCTCATTATGGGTGTTATTTAACAAGGAGGAAGCTGGTGGCGCTTTTTGCTCTTCTCGTGGCGTTTGCAGTCTGTCTTGTTGGTAAATGCCTGGCCGCACAGCGTGCACTTATAGGGACGTTCGCCCAGGTGCGACGAGATGTGACCTACACGAACAGGCATCAGCAAACAATAGGCAGTACATCAAAACAACGTGCACGTACGGGCCTTGCTATGTCGCGTAGTGAAATTCTGGCTGCAAATTTCACAAGTAAACCTCGCGGGGTGGATTCGTCGACCCTCGTTGGCGATCTTGATGGCATCGGTGGCAACAACGAGCTTCATATCAGGTGGTGGGGTTGAAATGTCTGGGCTGCTATCTGAGTGACCAAAGTCCTGCGAATTGATACGACGTGGTGGAGTATGGATGTACCTCCGTCGAGCATTCGTATGGTTGGTGGTTGGATAGGGACTGGAACATCTCGAGAAAGCATCATAACGATGGTGCCGTTGATGATCCTCGACAGCGCAACCCCTTTGCGAACCTGTCCCCAGGTCGGGAGAGAGAGGAGTAAAGTAGCTCTCAATGGCATCACGGCGATATCCTATATTAGGGCTCAAGGCTGGCAACGATTGATTCGGAGACAAGGGATTGTCATCATGAGGTAACGGTGTAGGCAACGTGTAGGTGAGATATCCGGAATCGAAGAGCATGTCATCATTGTGAAGAGATCCCAAACACCTGTCGTTGTCTTGAATATTAATGAGGCTCATGCCAAGGTCGTCTTCTGGCCCAGAGATATATGCCTCGCTCGTGTTATTGTTGCTAGGGTACAATGTTCCATTTCCAGAGGTGTCGAAAACCAGATGACTTGAGTCTGATAAACGGGGATAAAACTCGTTGAAAGGAGGGCTAAGGCATGGATTTTCCCAGTCTGCATTCTCTCCACCTATGATTTGCATGAATTCTAATCAGGGAATAAGGAACTCTCTTTGAAATTATGTACTGACATTCGCTGTATGATGAACGTGGACTTGAGGGGCCTGAGGAATCATACTGCGAGCAGCCCACCCCGAGAAATCGCGGGTGACCAATAGGATAGGATGATTCGTTGTCCCCAATAACGTTTGTGCTATAGATTTACACTCATGAGCGCAAGCACCAAAGGAGTCGATAGATAGGAACATACGGATTAATATCGATCATGGAAGTGCCCTGTAGGTCGGAAGTGACATAGATTGAAGGCAAGCGTCCATCGTCATTGATATCTGCACCAAGGATGTTGTAGTGTGACATCTGGTAAGAAAACAACGATAGAAAGTATTGGACTGCAGTAAATTGATTCCATGTGCTGCTGATTATATACGAATGCAAGCCATGTTCAGAGTTATACCACACAGCCCTGTTTTTCGGCGGCGCTCCGAGGATGGCTGGCCTCGAGGCTCGAGCGTCAATACTAGGCGCTACAACAACACGTTGCCAAGTGCCTGTATGAACCAAGTAAATGATAACCCCAGCCTTCTTCAGCATGGTAAGGTTTTGTCCTCTTACCTGATAAGCACTTACGGTAGTCCCCTGATACATGAATCGACTGCGAATGCGAAATGGCGTCTGCACCGGGTCAAGTTTATTTTAGCGGAGTACCAGCGCCCTCTTGAAGTGCGACCTTGTAGCGGGGCGTAGACAAGCGTAGAATCTTTTTTTCCAATACTCCTTCCACAGTGAAATTCATTGAATTGTATAGCTTTGGACCGAGAACAAGACCAACAAAAGAACAAGGACATAGAAAATTGCTCAAGCAGTGCGTCGTTCCATATGGAAAGGAAGAATGGCATCGCCTGGTAGAAGTTCAGTGGGAAGCACATGTGTGTGGTACGTAGAGGTACGTAGAGAGCTGTGGCTATCCGTATACACACTTGTAAATATTGCGGCGCAAAGCGTTTTTGGTAACCGAGCTCATATTTCACCCGCCTCCCGCCTCGAGCGGCCTCAGTTGACATTTGACGTTGAGCATTGAAGATTTACCAGTATGATCTGGGAATCACAGTGACAGCCCCATTATCGATGGTTTCACGATCAATTATCCGACTAATCGATAACTGCATGGATAACTTGGCCAGCTGCTACAACTGATAGTCTCCCTTGCTTACCTAATTCAATATATGATAAGTCGATATCTTGTAAATAAGGTCTGCACCAAAGTAAGGCCATTTGGCGTGAACCCCCCTTCGGTACCACACGAATATTGAGCTCTTTTGCACCTTGATGTTAAACTCAACCGCTCCGATTGAATATGGCTGAGCATCACATTTAAGGCTAGCTATTGCTTCAACCAGCGTAACTCACCACTTAGCCTTTGTGCGAATCGGTAGAGTTGATAGTGAAGCTCTCAGATGACGAACAACGCTAGTTTCAAATTTTTCTTCCATCCCAAACAGATGCTGAGCCATTGAGATAGTGAAACTGTCAGCCACTCCAATTAAAACACCGCTACGAATTGCAGACACACCTGAACCAAAACACGGGCAAAAAGAAATGGGATATTCAGAGTCATATAGGTTCAAGGTGCTACATAAATTGTCGTAGTTGCAATACAATAGTAGGGATCATAAACATAACATTTGTTCTCTACAGTAGCTGTTTCAGCTGAAACCTTTATGTGCTTTTTCCTGGTGTGACTAGCCACAAAATGCCGAGTTCAAGCCGAATGTGCCGCTCATGGTGCCTTCTCTATTACTACCGAAGCGGGGGTTCCTGCCAAAGGTCCTTACTTCGGACCAGACTATACAACTGACGAGCTAAGAACAGAATGTATCATCGGCCGAGGGAGAATACTCTTGGAATATTTTATTGAAGTAGCCTACTAGGCGCCTGCTTAACGTACTCAGGGCATCCGGCTTTTCTAGAGACCGGGCATCGCGTGGGGAGTGTAAGAAAAAAACTGCAGCTCTTTGATTGATGGTACAAAACCCTCCAGACATTATTGGCATGAGGGCTGCAGAAACGGGGGAGACGTGATCAAATCTGTGTGAATCACGAAAGATGCAAGAGACTGCAATAGTTTCGCACGTACTGGTCGTGGTTCCCTCCTGGACGTCACCAAGAGCCACTGAGACACTAAGAATACAGACACAATGTTATTCTCGCTGTGTAAAGGCTGAAAATTTATCGGCGGATCTATCTCACTACATGATCAGCACCATAGACAGATGTCCAGATAAGGCACCATACATATTACACAAACTTCATCACTCGTCCTCATCACTCCCATAATCCCCTAAGCCTAATCCGGTCGGCGGTATTGCGATCCCTGTCTTGTTAAATGTGGCTTGCCCAGGACCATTACGTTTACGTATCTCTGCAAAATACTTCATTCCCTCCAAGGCATCTTCCGTGAGCAATCCAAACGGGCTTCGGGGCTCCGTTGGACTTAACGGTTCCTGTTCAATCTTCCTCCTCTTCGCCTCCTGTTCTTCGCCGTCTTTGTTTTCGTGTTGAACATCCATCAATTCATCAGCGTCATCCAGTGTTTCCCCATCCTCTAGCGCTCGGACGGCCCTCATCGCGTCCACTATCCGTGGATCCATGCGAGCCTTAATTGCTTCCTGCCCTATGTCCTCCAATCGTCGCTTTTCGGCAACTTTCTGTACAGGATTGGGATCTTCCGTCGCCCATCGAACGTTGAGAATCTCATCATTATCTAGGGACTGACATGCCATAGCTTCTTTGGCAAATTGAGCGTGGAGCTCTGAAACGTAAGTGACGAATGCCACACTACGGTATTGCAATACTCGGACTATCGGGGCATGAGAAAAGGGGACAAGCTCGATCGCACAACAGAAAAAACGTACTTCGTTCAACCTCGCCCCATTCTTTGAAGTGCCTTTGGATAACCTCCTCCGTCTCTTGACCGTTTCCGGTTTCTTTTATTCGACCGATGTAAAGTGTCCGATTCTGTCTGTTGAAACTTCCGACACCACCCATATCATCTCTGTAGTCTGAAAATTTGTCTCGGGCGAAACAGTCTTTTGAACTATCGGGCAGAGCCTTCAACGGGTCAGGAAGAGTGTGAAGGTATTCACACTCCCATCCGTAAGGACAGCATCCGCGAGAAAAGAAGAGACAGCAGTATTTGATACCAGTTGTATTGGCACGAGTCAAACCAGCGTCCTTGCGAATATTGCACCGAGTTTGAGACTTTACTTTGCTATGCTGGAGGTGAGTGGAAATAGCCATAGCAGTATCAAGGATGACACATACTTTGAGTAGTTATCTTCACGATCACCTCCTGCCCACTTATTATACCAAATGTCTGAAAGTTTCATGAGTAGCTGATATTTGAGTCAAGTAAGCCATACGTACTGTACTCTTTTCCAGTCTGTGGTGTCTCTTTTTTCTCGACGTCTCCTGGCTTGACCTGTTTGCGAGCGGGCTTGAGTTTCTTTTGTTTTGGTACTACAGCATTTGATTTTTCGATTGAGCTCATTGTTGAAGACAGGGAGCTTGAGAAGGTCCAGTGTTGGATTGCAGAGCTGCAAGTATGACAGTGTGACGTGTGACAAAGGGTGGCGCAATGCCGCACGTGGGAATTGCGCAAGGTATCCGAGTCCGAGTGTCTGCTCCCCTGATGCGTGCTCCTTCATCATATACATCCAAGTCTTTGCTTATTCTTGAGCGATGGCCCGCCATTCTTCGCTGTTGGCGTCGCCCTCGCCCTCAAATATTGTACCAACAAATGTTACCATAGGACATGTGTAAGTCCATTGCTCTAGCCGTTCCTGAAATCAGATGTTTCCCTATTGACTGTTACATTGCCTCTAGGCAGTTGCGAGATCTCATAATCTGCCCTAGGGAAAGAGGCATTGTCAATTATGTGCAGGGACTTTCCATCGTTGAGCATGATTTGAATGTTCCAGGTTCGGTAAGTCATTGACGCTGCTCTGAAACTGCGGCATGCTTTGATGTGGATCATCTTTTTTGTAGGCGCCTCGTAGCATTGCCGATCTCTCATTTAATCCGAATACCATCACTTCTCTACAGATTTCGGGGAAGGATGCGACATTGCTTGCTGCAGGTGGTCAGGACGCTGAGATTCATCTGTCCCTCCATGCCTCATCCTCGCCATCTCAAAGCAGACACAGACAGCGCTCTCGAAACCTATTGTGGAATTATTATCGCCAACTACCTGGTTCAATCAATAATTCAGTGCTCCTCACCTCACTCAGTCTATCCAGATCACACGAAAGCAGTGTGGAGCCAAGGCTGGTAGTCAGCAACAACGATTGCTCTGTAAAATTTTACGACATCCCCATGAGCGGTCAGACCTCCCCAAAAGACATATATCAAGTCGGTCAGCTATTATTAGATGTGCCAGTAAATCACTGTGAGTTCATCTTGACATTTATGTATGGGCTTTCGAGCTCATTCACCTTAGCTTCAATATCACCCGATGGTAGAACTCTACTTTCGGTTGGAGACTCACCACAGATATATCTCCACCAGCTTAATGGTGGATCACGTATCAAATTTACTCCCATCATGTCGCTTTCTGTTCCTCCTCCTGATGTCAATCTGCACTCATCCTCCGCACTAGCCGCATCGTTCTCGACAGCATTCTCAGGTGATGGGATGAAATTTGCTGTAGCCTCACAGGAAGGAGTTGTTGCGGTATGGGACGTGCGGAGTAGCAAGCCTCTCAAAGTTCTACAAACGGATAAGTCTCGATTGTCTAGTGGATTATTAGGTAATGGAAGTGCGGGCGGCTGGTTGAGTGACGATCCATCGGATTGGACAAGGGGAGGGTCGCGGGCGCCTGGGTGGGGTGTGAGAAGTGTCAAGTTTGGATCTGGAGGCTTAAATGGTCAACGTGGTCGCGAGTTGATGACCTTTACAGAGGTACTTATATGTTTTTTTACCTATATCCTCCTTTTACAGCTTGACTAACTGTATTTAGCACACGTGTTTCCTCCACGTTGTCGATGCTCTCACCTTTGAAACTGAAGAAGTAATCCATGTACCTGGCATTCCTGGCCGCCGGAATACTCTTCATTCGCCCGCGGTTCAGCCGCCAATCGTCATTCAGCCTCCACCGACATCGCCGCCGAGGCAAGCATCTGATTGGACTCGGGCGGTTGTGTCACTTGAGGAGGCTTTTCGTGTCTCTACTGCAGGTAGCCCTAGTCGTGTATCATCTTCTAGATGGCGCGCTGCACAGCATTCAATGAGGCGGAATGATGATGATTCAGATAGCGTCGTGATTATACCGCCGTTAGGTGATGTTGTGGCCGAGAACGATGTGAGAAGCTTGCTAACGCGCCATGGGGTTCGGTCGCGACATCCTAATGGATTTGCTGTGCGTCCACCGCCACCGTTGTCAGGAGGCCATAGTGGCGGTGGTGATCATGAGATATATGGTGACTATCATACGGATTATGATGATAACCGTGACCGGGAGGCCGGTGACTTAGAAATGGAAGTGGATGAACTCGAGTCGGACTGCCTTTCGTCGCACACACCTTCGAGGTCTTCGTCACCATCTCCTTCTGTACATCTTCCCATGCAAACTTCTCCAATACCTGTGTCTTCACCCTCACGTATAGCCCCAACACCACACCATCACCGACATCATGGTCGGTCACGTCGTCGAACGATAACACGGGATGACTTTGTTGAACGGCAAGACTACGATTTGGATCTTGCCGGGACGTGTTTTGACCCATCTGGGGGATATATCTATGTTGCAGGTGTGGATAGCATATCTGAGTGGGCTGTGAGAGGGGCGGACAAGCGATGGTGGTGCGAATCTGCGTGGATGTAACGGACGAGACTGGTTTATAAAGAGATTCTCCATATTATCCCTTTCCTTGTGTTCTGGTATTTCTACTGGAGGAGCAGGCTTCATTACTGTATCTGCATGCATTTGCTGTTCACCTTGTGTCTGTACTAATATTTGGGTGCGATAATGTTGTTATTCTCGACTCATGTACATGTTGCTGTAGCACCAACCACTGTTTAACCGATACATTCCACGTTGTACCTGTGATGGTGGTACTGGGTACCTGCAGGCCCTTTAAGGCTTTACGATACCGATGCAAGATATTCCCCGGTCAGAACATTGCGATCAGAAAGTCAGGACAGGTCGTGTCTGGTAGATAAGATTAGATAGCCGGAACCGGAAACTTAACGCCATTGTGTAATGATCTTGCGAGTATTGCATACTTGGCGAGAACACTCACGGCAACGCATTCCGTCTCTCTCCTTTACATCTCTCGGTTCATTGACGTTTTATCAACGTCCCATTCTGCACTGTCCTTGTTACGCTGATGTGGTTGCGTGCATGCCCAACTGCTCGCCTGTCGTGTAATGCGGGAACGCAGAGGGCATTCACGGCAACAGCCTTCACATCCTCGAGGCTTTTCCTCAGGACTGGTAGAAGTAAAGTGTTACAACTCGAAGGACATGCAGGTGGCCGGTCACAGATCTGGCGGCGACAAACATCTTGTTTGTGGTCATATGGTTTCCATACTTCAACCACACAACAGTCTCCAGCGCTTTCAGACTCGGATAAAACGATAAAGCCGCCAGATACTGCAGTCAAGAACACAGCTACCGATTCTAATGACATTTCACAGAAAGAGCAACGGAAAAGGGACTGGTCTATAGTAAAGAAATTGATGGAAAACGTTTGGCCGAAAAACGACTGGAGCACACGAGGACGTGTCATATTGGGGTTTGGACTGCTGATTTCTGGAAAGGTGAGAGCCAAGGCAGTGTAAACTGACGCATATACCCAAAGATTCCCCATTCATAGGTGCTGAACGTTCAAGTACCGCAACTATTCAAGAACGTCATTGACGCATTGAACGTAGACATAGCCTCTGATTCCACCGTGTGGGTCATCACAGGCTCTTTGATTCTCGGCTGTTCGTATCAAAGACGCGTTTTGTTGTGCTCTTTAATAATCACTCGTGTCATCCAGACGGAGCCGCCAGAGTTGGAGCGACACTCTTTGGCGAGCTTTTGAATGCCGTGTTTGCTAACATCGGTCAACGTGCCATTCGGAAGGTAGCTAGAGAAACCTTCGGACATCTCCTCAACTTGGACTTGAGATTTCATCTCTCTCGCCAAACTGGAGGACTAACCCGAGCCATTGATAGAGGAACAAAGTTGGTTACATCATCTTCTAGCTATATGGCGGTGATTAATAGATCATTCCATGTAGGGGTATCACATTCATGCTGCAGGCTATCATTTTCCGAATAGTGCCAACTGCACTGGAAATTTCACTGGTTTGTGGTATCCTGGTAAGCTATCGTTACTGTCGTAGAATGAGTGGCATAGCGAGCACAGGCTCAACTATCTGCTAGACATACAAGTTTGGATGGGATTTTGCCGCCATTACGGCTGCAACACTAGCGGCGTATACTTATTTTACAGTTAGGACTACATCGTGGCGGTACGTACCGTTCTGCGTTCTGAAATTCCTATCCAATCCTCATATCTTTGTAGGACACGTTTTCGCCGGGAGGCGAATAAAGCGGATAACAAGGCTGCCACAGTAGCTGTTGATTCTTTGATAAATTATGAGGCTGTCAAAGTGATGTGAACAATCTCTTTCTGAGAAAGTGGAATATTGACCCCTTAGCAGCATTTTAACAACGAGAAGTTTGAAATTGCACAATACGACAAACATCTCAAAGAATATGAGAAGTCTTCCGTGAAGATCACCACCTCACTAGCATATCTTAATTCTGGTCAGAATATAATATTTTCGAGTGCTCTCACAGCAACGATGTTCCTCGCTGCACAGGGTGTAATGAAGGGTCAGTGTCGACTATCTTCTAGGAGTTGTCATTAATTCACGTTGTATGTGTTCAGGAACCATGACCGTTGGTGACCTCGTCATGGTCAACCAACTAATATTTCAGCTTTCCCTTCCTCTAAACTTTTTGGGATCAATATATCGCGAATTACGCCAGAATCTCCTGGACATGGAAGTCCTGTTTAGTCTTCAGGAAGAGCATGCACCAGCAAAGGTAACGAGTTTTCTTATTTACTTTATGATCTTGCTTTATGGTTTCTGGACTGCAACAGGACATACCTGGGGCTAAACCTCTCGAACTCCGAGGTGGTTCTATTCGCTTCGAGAACGTTAATTTTGGGTATCATCCTGACCGTCCCATATTCCGTGATCTATCATTCACCGTCCCCGCTGGGAAGAAAGTGGCCATAGTGGGCCCATCTGGTTGCGGCAAATCAACTGTCTTCCGCCTATTGTATCGCTTTTACGACCCTTCATCAGGACGCATATTTATCGATGATCAAGATATCCACGAATTGCAAATGGAAAGCATGAGGAAGTCAATTGGTGTAGTCCCACAGGACACGCCACTCTTCCATGCTGACATCTTGCACAATGTGAGGTATGGACGATTGGATGCGAGCGATGAAGAGGTAAAAGCTGCAGCTCAGAAGGCAAACGTGCATGATACTGTTGAAAGCCTACCGGATGGCTATAAAACAACTGTGGGTGAAAGGGGCTTGATGATATCAGGTGGTGAGAAACAGAGGTTGGCCGTCGCGCGAGTGTTGCTCAAGGACCCACCAATTCTCTTTTTTGATGAGGCTGTATGTTGTGAGCATATTTTTACTACCTGAAGCTGATCTTGTTTTTATAGACGTCTGCACTGGATGGTCACACCGAAGCTGAGCTTATGCGTAGCATCAATACAACACTCTTGGACAAGGCTAGAACGAGTATTTTTATCGCACACAGACTTCGTACCGTTGTTGAAGCAGGCACGTTGGTTCTATATGTGGTGAAAAAAATCGCTCTATTCAGCACTAATGCATCAATTTCTGGCTTTCAGATCTAATCATTGTACTCAAGGAGGGTCAAGTTGCGGAGCAAGGAACGCACGATGAATTACTTCACAAAGGAGGGTTGTACTACACGATGTGGCTGCAGCAAGCATCAGATACGTCTGGAAGCCCACTGGAAGCACCATCTATTCCATAGCCCGGCCTCCGTCTACTGGTCATCAAGTATATTGTGATTGTACGACCTACATCATCAACGTACACAGAATGTAACCCTTCACTCTATTCGTCCCCTTAGCCAACTCAATAAACCTTTGGTCCCCTCTCTCTCCCACACCCTTCTCTGCGGAATACGGAAGCTAGGTAACAAATTTGGTAAATAAGAAAATATGGGTGGTGAAACCGACTTACACATTCCCATCTACTAAAAATACGTCTAACGGTAGCAAGCCCAGCTCTGAGGGAAGCTTGGATATCTCGTTATCTCTGAAGTCGAGCTCCTCTAATTTCCAATCTGGTATGTCTCGGTGACCCTTGAAGAGTTCTGCAACACCTTGGAACCCTTCTAGCTCTGTAATACGATTTCCTCGTAGTCGAAGGTGTCTCAAGCCTTGCCGCGGACCGACTGTCTCCGCCGTAGTCGTACTAGAGGCCATGATAAGAGAAGTCAAGACGTCTGTTTTGAGAGCCTCAGATGTCAACGAGTTGTAAGAAAGGTCTAAGGTCCTGAGGCTTGGGAATAATTTTGTTAAGAGCGGCAATAAAGCCTCGCTCGATCTTGGTGTAGTCGAATTTTCTGAACTCGCCTCCTGCACACGAGTGACAGGGACATTGTCTCCAAGGTTGCAACCATCAAGTACAAGTTCCTCCAAGTGAGGTAGTAAACCCATATCAGGTGCGTCCTTCAGAGATGGCAAACTGAAGGACGGGTCGTGCCTACGGTTTGTGAGCGTGAGCACCCGTAACGTCTGAGAAAATGGTTGAGAGTATATCGCGGCGAGGGGAAGCGTTGGTGTTGGGAGCGCAATGTCTGACATTCCTTGCTTGTGTGCAAAAGGACCGGAAGATGCTGCAAGAGAAAATGAGCGAGCATGTGATTTTGTTGGGGCTGTGGAAGCAGGAAGGGTAAGCGTTTGAGTTGTAGCATGATAATATTGAGCATTGGTCAAGGCCTGAACAGGTGAGATTTGACTTGATTTCGAAGCCGTAGTGGAAGGAGAACCATTTCCTAAAGATGGGATAGACTTCGGTTCTTTCGGATTGATAGAAGCCGTAAGAGCAGCCCTAGCACGCCTACGTCCACCCTCTGTCAAGAGACCTTGTTCAGCTTCAATTTCCCAAGCTTCTTTGACTACCTCTTCTTTGCTATCCTGCTTCGTTTTGTGTGCGCTCTCCGTGTTTTCTATGTCGCGTGAACCTCTGCCTCTGCCCCTGACCCTTAGCTCGACTTCTAACTCCCATGCTTCTCTTATGATTTTCTTGCCCACGATGACTCTCAGTGTTCCTTCTGGAGGTTCATCAGCTGTTAGATCATACGTAAGGTCTTGCTTCAATCCTGATAATGACCCTTTAATTCCTTCTTCAGTTATTCTAGTTTCGCCCATGTCAAGAACGCGTAAACTAGGAAAAGCGGTTCCGTCGGCGGAAACGTCAGACGGGAAGGCATCATCTCCTATATCAGCCGTTGCAAAGCGTACGTGTTTCAATTTCTTCAACTGCGCGAGCGCTCTGATCAAAGAAGAACAGCCCGTATTCCCAGAAGAGAGCGGATTGGCAGATAGATCGATTTTAGACAGGAGAGGTGGAAGATTTTCTGGTGCATGATCGATGCGGTTTACAGTCAGTTTGTTATAAGAGGCGTCAAGATTGGTGAGACGCGGCAGAGGAGAAATTGCTCGAACGACAGCGGGCGCAAAGAAATCGCTATTGCTCTGATAATTGGACTTGAAGTTGAGGCTTGATGAGCCAGAAAACGGGGCATTGAATGGAAGTTCGACGAGAGAATTATGTGAAAGGTTCAGAATCGCCAAATTTGGTAAAGCAAACATGTTCGTTGGGAGCGATGACAAAGCATTATGGGAAAGGTCTAATGTAGTGAGATGAGTGAGGTCTCCAAAGGTATGGGGGAGCTTGGCGATCTTGTTTTGATGTAACTATCAAGCATATAACCACATCAGATACAACGCAAGATATAAGAACGGTGAAAGCGCATACATCGACTATTTTCAGGGAACCGAACAGAGATATTTCATGCTGTATTTCGATGATTTCATTGCTCCATGCTTTGAGCACTTGCAGATCTTGAGCTTCAAACCAGGTTGGTGCACCACCACGTCGACCACTTCCTACAGGCGCGTCTAAGGGGTCTGTGGAAGTCGTGATAGGTGGTTCTTTAGGAACGGATTCCAGAGTATCTGGAGTAATTCCAAGATGGATATCGAACAATGCAGATGGGATACACTGTAAAGCACGCGAAGACAAATTGATGGAGCCTTTCGGTGAGGTCTTGACTAGTTAGTTGTTTGGGCGGTCAAGAAGGACGTATTCACCTGTGCTGCGAGCACGTTCGATGGTCTCTTTCACAGACCACCTACCTAAATCCAGCTCGTTTTGATCTTCAACCTTGTTTACAGTGGGAAGCGCGTCCTCCATGTTTTCGAAGCTGCCAAAGCCACCCACGTCGCCTCCAGAATTGGGCTTGGACATGGCAGCCTTCTTGGCCTCGGCTCGTTTGAGAGCAATGGCCTCCTTGATGCTGATGTTCGTTTTGGGGATGGGTGGTTCATCCTCTGGTGGCGGTCTCCTTAAACCAGATTTTGTAGGTGACTTAGGTACAGATTTCGTCCGAACGCGTACTGAGACTGGAGAGCCAGGTGCCGTCCTGGTAGGCTTCGAGGGTGACGGTGCCCGCGAGCGTGGAGTGCTAGGAGGAAATAGTGCTGGTGTCTTGATAGCAGGGCGGGAAGAGGAAGGTTGGGGAATACGAGACATTGCGATAAAAGTCGTTCGATGGCTATGAAAGTGTCCGTCGTTGTGGAGGACGTCAGGCGACTTATAAACGGAGTAGTTGCTTTACAGCAAGACTTGAAGTCCAGGGGCAAGGATAAAAGTTGCGGCCGACCCTCAGGCTTGTTTATGTATTTGGCGAATACCCGGTACTCTGACGACTGGGAAGCCGCTATCGACCCGCTTATATAGTCCTGGCAGAGGTTTGCCACATTTCATTTACCAGGGAACTTACAAAAGTAGATAGTAAGCGTATCTGACGTCCATCCGACTTTCGTAAGTACATAAATGCTGGTACAACCGCATGCAAGGTTCAGTGATAAATAATGGTGCGGGTGTGGTGTTCCAGCAACATTATTCTACTCGTCCCCATCCGCCGAGCCAACGTTGTCCTCCCCTCCGTTATCTTGTCCTCCGCCATCATTACTACCATCAATGCTGGCATCTTCCATTCCTGACTGTAATCTGTCTTGCTCTCTGTCATAATCTTCATCCTCCTTTTCTTTTCTATATTTCGAAAGGTCCCAGTCTTCGGATTCGTCTCCGTCATCTTCATCTTGGAACCACTCGGGGTTGAATTGGAACTGCACAGAAGGTATGCAATTAAGTGACCGATTCAGTGAGCATGAAGTAAATATATATACCAAATCCCTTCCACTCATTCCTGTGTTCTTTCCTGCTGCGTGTTGCGTCTCCTTGGTTTTACGAAGAGCCTCTGTCTCTGCTTCCTTCTTATCCATCCTTGTCTTCTTCCATTTTGCAAAGGTTTCGGGTGTTACAGGTGTTAGATTGGAACCAAGTTTATGTCGCTAAATCGCAATAGATCAATAGATGCACTGAAATAGCTCATAACCAGAACAGACCTCCACTTCCAGGAATTCCTCAAGACTGATAGTGTTCGCTTTAGCAGCAGCTTCAGCAGCCTTCCTTTCCGACTTCAGCACAAATCCAGGAGGTAGAGCGTGCCGATATTGGCATTTTTCTCCGTTTGGACACTCCCAGAACCATCCAAATCTGCAAAAGAGACAGCCAAAAAGTCAAATTGAAACGAGGGTTAACTCTAGGGTTTTTCATACTTTTGTGTTTCTATAGCTTCTATGAAGAATTTGCACACGATCTATACGTGTTTTTGAGTATCTCGATAATGTGTGAAAGCGAACCATTGAACGCACATCTGTAGTCGTCCGAGGGTTTCCATGCTTCGAAAGTACAACACTTCTCAGCTTCTCCTCGTCCCATGACTCCATTGTGTCTGTAAATTGGTCGATGATCAACTGATGCAGTTCAGGGACACCCATATAGCTTACCATTTAGCTTGTCTTCTCGACTGTCCTCATACAAGTTCTTCTTCTCTACTTTCCGTCCAACATTCATATCGTGGCTGAACTTACATTTGGTCCCCTTCTCACAGTTGCCTGCTTTATAGAAAGCACAGAGAACGGTCTTGGGATCCACTCCAAATGGCACTTTCTGTTGCTGAACTGGCTTGAATAAAGCTGCTTCTTCCTTCTTGCGTTTTTCCTCATCCAATTTGGCCTTTGCACGAAGGTCCTTCTCCTTCTCCTTGGCAAGAGCTTCCTTGGACTTTCCTGCCATCGACGCCTGCTGCTGGATTTGCTGAACCTGCTTCTGAACTTTCGCAGATTTGTTTTTCTGCACATGATAGGTCAGTGTCTAGCTAATCAGCATGAAAGGTGAAAGATTTTCTGACATTTTTCATCCCAAAGGTCTACATCGAAAATCTTCATCAGTCAGTCCTTCCCTCCTTCCACATACGAAGAAATAGCCACCTTGTCATCTTTGACTTTGGAAGAGCTAGGCACGTTCTGTTTCTTTGGAGGCATCTTGAAAGATCTATGGGGGCACAGGTAAAGACAGGAGGACGGTCGCCGTAAAAGGTGCAGCTGGTAATGCAGTCGAGTTCGTGGCTTCAAGGCAACCCGCAGGTGGCACTCATTTTATTTTAGCCACAGTAGTTTCACTGAAGCTTCAAAGCTTCCGAGTCACAGTCAACTTCAAATCAAATGCCATTCTTTTGGAAACGAAAACGAATGATTTTTGTATTTTAACATTGCAAGTATATTAGTTGTGCTTCCATGCCGATTATTCTACAATATTGCCAGATTATTGCAAGATATGCGAGGGTATGATCGCAAAGATATTTGGCAGAACGCTATTTCGTCGAAAAAGAAATGATAAGGTCCGTCAAGAGATTAAAATTCATTCTGGCATCGCCCTTGAGGCCTTGCTCGACATCGACATACTTCGAGCGGGACGTGCATGGCCGATGCCCATTCCAACTCGGACTAACGTCTCGAGTGAGGCCCTACCGTTGATGAGAAGATCTTCGTCCCACTGAACCGCCCCCTTCTCGAATAGGACAACGACCGTCGAGCCCCCTAAATCAAAAATGAGTAAAACAAGATGCCTAAATCACACAGGAAACACACCGAAAGCGAAGTAGCCCAACTCTTGTCCCCTCTTCACTTCATCCCCTTCTTGAACTGTGGTCTGGATGCTGCCGACCATCATAGCACCGATGCAAACTGCCATCACACGACCAAACTGGGGGCTGTCAATGGGTACGATTTTACGAGCGTTTTCACCATACACATCAAGTGCGCTTCGGATAGCCTGAGGCTAAAAGCGGGGTGCCGCAGTTAGAGAAAAGATCACAGGCACCGTAACAAAACTTAGACCGGCACTCACATTTACAGTGTAGTATTCGCCAGAGATATATGTCATTGGTCCTACCGTGCCGTCAATAGGTGAGTGAAAACGATGATAATCTTGGGGTGCCAGACGGAAAATGGCGAGGGCGCCACCAGCGTACCGCTCTGCTTGGTCACGATACCGATCACCCAGTAGTCGCGCGACCGTGAATTCCCGACCTTTTATCCACAGACGAGTCGCCTCTGAAACAGTTTCGAATACCATCAGTCGACAGTCCGCTGCGCTTACTAATCGCCCAGGATCATCGATGTCTTCTGTTGGTCTAGCGGAAGGCTTGAGTTTCCTGTATCATCCAATCAGCTTTACGAACAATGACATAATCGCGAGGTGTACCTGTAGAAGAATTCGTTGAAAGTTTCTTCAAATAACACGTCAGGAGCAGGCGAGACATGCGAAGATACGAACTTACTGAATGAGCTTATGGGTTCTAATATCTCATCCACCTTCAGCCCGTGGAACTCGATGAAAGTAGAAATATCTCGTGCTGAATCAGGAGAATCGTACTTATTACCTTGTTTGATGGAGAGGGATTTCAAAAGACGTCGAGCTTTGGCCAGTTATTAGAGGTGCGGCGTGTATGAGTCAAAAATCAAGCAATTTTACCTCTAGCACCTTCCATTCTACTTCTAGCACCCTGCAAAAACGATCAGAGCCAGATCCTAGAGTACGAGGGATAGCCATTTCGACTTACCTTATACAGTAGTCTGATTCCGAGACGCACATAAACTTGCATCTTCTCTTCCTCTAACTGACCCGTCAGACGGTTTTGGACAATGATATTGGCGGAATTCTGAAAGTGAAATAATGTCACTAAATGTGCATCACAAGGATGATTCATCACGAACCGCTCCAAGCCTGTAATCTCCACTGGATACCTTAGAGATGATCTTTGTGTACCATTTCCTCTGTGCTTGACTAGCAGTGACGAAGTTTCCAACCACTATACGGTCGACCTTTGCCCAATCCTGACTCGCACAAACAGCCAGGTGCGTCACGATGTCCACTTCTGCTTTAGAATTGAGTCGTGGGCGGTGGCAGAGAGGGCAGTTTTTGACATTGATAACTCGCTCGAACGAGTCGTCGGAGTGGGACATGGACCCCGAGTTCCAAGACCCAGGAGAATCTTCCACATCTGAGGAAGAATAGGACTGTTGTCGTGAATTGGTCCCGTTGGTCCCATAGCTATATGAACTAGGCTCCGCGACTTGAATTAAAGGCTGCTCGCTCCGCTCCGTGCTGTATGCAGAGGGAGGCAAAGCCTTTGATGAACCCTCGATAGAAAAATCGTCTGCCGATATCGCGCTGAGTGGAGGTCCTGAGAAATCAAGCCCATCAAGGAAAGGTGCCGATTCTTCGCTAGATAACAATGGAGTGACAGGAACGCTGCTGTCTGGGAGATTGTCCTCTATATTGACACGCTTCTTCTCGCTATTTGGTCGACCCAATTCCGTCTCCAAGCATTGTATGGCTTCTGCGATGGTAATTTCGTCTTCATGGGGCATCTTTCCATGTCGGATGAAGAACGAGTCAATGGTCTGACTGGAAAGAGTGGAACCCAGCGAATCGAGCATCGACGTCAATTCGAGGTGAGACAGAGTTCCCGTATCACATGCATCGTATTGCTTCAAGTATTGCTGCCAGAATCGTTGACGAAGGCCATCATAAGGCTGGAATTTAGCCCTGAAAATCCTGAATGAAACAGAGCACACGCCTCTCATCCTATTGCGACCTACCTAAAAGCTAAAACAGGATTATGTTTGGCTTCCCAAGGCATTTCTTTGGCTGTCGTCAACGGCAGCTGAAACTCCTTCATTGGGTGACTCCCATCTTCATCTTCGGAATACAAACCCGTTTGTGGGTCTCGTTGGGGAGCATCCCTTATCAGCTCAGTCACGTCAAAACTCGCATCGCCTACGTAATCATTGGACGACAGCTTATCCCAATCGAGGACCGTGAGCTGGACTTTATAGGTGGTTTCATACCGACGAACGTGGAAGAGCATCTTCTCGTCCCACACAGGATTGAGAGAATGGCGTATGACTCGTGTACGGAAAACCTTCTTACCAAACGAAATGACGACAAATGGATCCATATCCCAACCCGTACGTGTCACTAATATAATATCAGCAGATGGGCTTCTCATATGTAAAACTGCTTACTGTTCTTAAGTCGGGGCAAATCAGTAGCACCCAGAATCTCAAGCATCACGATGCCAACAATATCGTTACCAGCTGAGAAATTGTAATCTGTCTTCTTAGGTCCCCATGATTTCCGGAACTTCTTCTTTGTTTTAACCCCAGCAGATGCGGGGGGGCCAGCGCTTACTGAGCGTCGATGGCCAGGAGTCGTCGGAGTAACTGCAGGCGTTGGTGGTACGGAAGGCGCCGCCAACGACGAGGATGCATCATAAGAAGGATTAGTCGATAACGTAGGCCGACGAGGGAACAGTTTTGGAATGTTAAACCCAGGCGACGGAGGAGGTTTGAAGCCGGGTGACGGAGGAGGCTTAATTCCAGGTGACGGAGGGGGCTTGATCCCAGGCGATGAAGGAGGTTTGATTCCAGGCGACAGACCTATCCCAGGTGATGGTGGGGGTTTGAGTGCCAAGGGCGTCCTCATGGGTGTAATTGGAGTTGGCGTTGGAGGTATGACTTCTGTGAGGTCCGATAACGCACTGGTCGGTTCGCGTATCTCGAGATGCGTGGAAGGAATATACAGATGAGATAGAGGTGGGCGATCACCGTAGTCATCTTCATCGTCAGAATTGCCTTCCTCGTCTGAGCTGATGCCACCATCGTCTTCGTATGCCGGTCCATACTGATGAGACCGGAGGGTGCCAATACCTTCAGTCTGAAAGGGAACATGAGAATCACTTGGAGCCTGAAAGTAAATTCAGCACATACCGGAGGCGCAGATACGAGACTAGGACGTGAGCGCTTGATAAGCTCTGCGAAGACTTCGTCATACTCCATGAGGTTGGTCGTATTGGGAGCCGGGACGAAGCCGAGCTTGATCTGAACACTTCCAGATCCATGCGTGGAAGCTCTGGTAGAAATGAGGCGTGCGGAGGAAGACTATTGAACGGGTCAAGGCGATGATGCGAGTAATCACGTAGATGAAACCTTACGTACCTTGTTGAGGGGATCATTAAAACCGAATGCATTATCATTACTGAACCAATCCTCCAGAGGCAAGGCGACTTCACCAAGATACTCTTTCTTTAGCATATCCTTGTCCCATGCAACTAGTTCAATGGTACCCAGCCTGTCAGCTAGGGAGATATATATTGGGAAATCGAATGTAGCATCCTTAGGAGCATACTCTGGATTGGTGTTTCGCTTTGACACTGGTGTATGAAATCTGGTGCTCAGGAGGGATACGACAACAAAACTAGGGTGGTGGGGCTGATGTCAGATAGTGTTTCACGAAGGATCATACGCGATACGTACGGATCGCAAGAGCTGTTTTTGCTCTTTGGCAACAAGTCCTTGCAGCCAATAATCTGGAGACGCAAACAGACGACAGGCTGCTCGCCCTGCAAAGGAGAGAAATGATTCCGCCCACTCCCCCGACCGCCTGAAACACGCGCAGGGAATCTAGCTGCCGTGCGCAGCGCCCGACTAATCTTGAGAGCTTTCTTCGGAACTGGGGCCATGGAGGCGGGCGAGATGAAAGGAAAGGAAGAAAGACAGCTTGGTTATAGTGAACGATGGGACGATTTTTATTGGGACTGGACTTCTGTGGGCGGCTTTCTGAGGCTATGTGCCAGTTTTACTAGTAGGCTGAGGTCGATGGCCGGGATACCAGTTCTGACTTTGAGCCTGTGCCAGCGGTAATAAGCTCTGTGGGGTATTTGGTATGGCAGTCCAGCTACGAATCCTAACAAACCCGGTACAGCAAAACTCTGTCTGCCCTTTACAAGCACCACAAGGCGTAATCGGCGGTGTAATAAAGAAGTCGCAGCAAACTAAGCAGCCATATGGATGTAACAGGTTAAAAGAGTACGTACATGCATGGCACCATAATTAGCGGCTGGAACCCTTGCCATGTAGTTTCGCCGGGGCCTCTCGGGACATAGCATGGATTATTATTACACAATTATCAAGACTGGATCTGGATACCTATGTCTAATCCTTTTCTATTCAGAAATCCAGAGAGCAGCAATAAATAACCTCAATGCAGGGCCAGGGCGTGCAAACGAGATATCTTCCCCATTGGTCAGAATCCTCGTAAAGGTGCTATCTTTGACTCAGTGCCTAGATAATTTTTAGCTGATGTTCTGATGTGCCGACAGTTGCACGTAAGATGTGTTTCTGTCACCTTACTAGATCCAGTTCACAAACAGACATTATCATCTAAGGTATTCCAAAGAAGGGTATAGCAGGAACGAATGTTAATGGGCGGTCAACACTCAACAAAGTGAATTAAAATAGGAAAATAGTCCATCGTAGAAGTCCTGAAGTAGCGATGTAAAGTACTTCGTAGATGCGGTCATACTAGCTAATCGACAAGATCCGTACCGAAGCCTTCGACAATTCACTTGTCATGCTGTCGTAACGCGAAACAATAATTGTATAAAGTATAGATGAGATCTGTACAGCAAAACCCCCCTTCTTACGAAAGAAAGGCCATGGCAAACACCACACCAACGACACTAGCGGCAGCAGACACACCGAGAGTGTTTGCTCCGTTGCTGGTACCAGTAGCACCGGTGCCAGCAGCAGATCCAGAGCGGGAGGCAGATCCAGAAGGAGATCCATTACCACTGTTGGAACCACCAGCACCACCAGATGGCAACGAGGTAGGAACGGAGGAAGCACTGGTAGGAGCGGGTGCACCGGAGTACAGCTGAGCAGACTGGTATTGAACACAGTTGGACGACGAAGGAACAACCGGAGTGTAGGGAACAGTGGTGATAGCACCCAGAGACTCGGCAGGCTGAGTGTAGGTCATGGTGGCGCCGTTGGTCACATAAACACCAACTGGGGTCATGTCATCAGCATCACAAACTTCGAAGGTACCGTTGACGACGTTGCTGGGAGCGTTGTATTCACAACCGAGACGATCGTAGATGTTTTGGCAGTAGCCTTGTTGGTTGCTGCCAGTAGGGTCACAAACCTTGATGCAGAAAGCGTTTCCACCCATGAAGCTATTTTAAAAATAGCGATCAACAGCGATCTAAAAACAAATAAAACTAGGAACATACTTGGTCCAGTCAGTAATTTGAGTGTAGGTGCTGTTGTCGGTGTTGTTAGAGGGGTACGCGTTCGAGTACATGAGACCACCAAGAGGGTTACCACGCTGGCGAAGATATAGGTAAAACGTATGTTACGATACAATGAGGACGAGCTTGCTCACCAAGTCGGCGCCGTGAGGGTCAAGTTCTCCTCCGTAATCGCCAGCAGCCATATTGAGCTGTGTTTGGTCGAAGAAACCGGTGATCTGAATATAATCAGGGGTACGCAGGTACTGCACTGCCTGGAGAGCACCCTCGGGAATCACACGCGTTCCGTGACCGGACTTTGTGCACCATGCGACTTCCTCAGCTTCGGTGTCAGCGATGGTAGAGTTGGGTGTGGCAGGTGCCCATAGACAGAAATCTAGCAAAAGCAAGTTGGAATGAGTCGAAAAAGCAGCGATGCGGTGGTCAATTACCGTCAATGTGGTTTACGAAAGAAGTCTGACACTCGGACTGCTGGTTTTGAGTGGTGGAGTTACAGATGTTGTAACCAGTTTGGGGACCACGAATTGCGGCGGTGTTGTAGTCGACTTGGTAGGGCTAAAAAGCGAGATGAGAATATGGGATACGAGTAAAAGTGAAGGCACTGACGATGCCTGAAGGGTAAGCGTAGTGCTTGTCCACCAGAGGAGTAGGGTCAGCGGGGTCAGGCTGGGCGAAAACTAGGGTAGAGGCAGCGGCGACGGCCAGAATAGCGGAAAGAGTGGAGCGAGACATGTCTCAAGAAAGGGTCAGAAGTAAAAGGCTAGAAGGTCGCTGCGTGCGGAGGAGGAGGAAGGCGAGCAAAAAAGAAAAGTGGATGACAACGAGTTCCACAACGACTTCATATAGGTCCCGGCTAAATCGCGGCGTTAGGCGATTGCTATATTTATCATATCCTATTTTAGTCTCTCCGCGCTTTGACCACTGCCCCCCACACGTGACTCTCAACACCACGCGTTGAAACCCCGACGCGACCCCTCACTATAAGGACCCGTCTTGGTGTGCCCTAGCCTCTATTTTACCCTCTCTTTATATCCCTCACCTAGTCGCAATGGCCAAAACTGCTACAGGTATGTCCGTCGAGCCGTGCACGAGCCGTCACCCTCATACCAACATCACAGAAACCACTACCAAAACCGCCACCAAACGCGCAAATGCAAAGACATCGCGTGCAAAAGCAGGTATGCAGTGTATATGCCCTATCCTTAGCCACACACAATATCTCACATTCCGTCATGATTTCCATAGATAAATCTGATAAGCCAAAACGTGCCCCTACAGCTTACAATCTATTTGTTCAATCACATATGAAGCCGTGGCTTGAAGCTCATCAGGGAAAGACCGTAAAAGATGCTATGGTCGAGGTATAGCTTTTGACGCTCACCAGTAGCTCATTCACTAAACACGTCTTGTGCTCCCAGATAGGTGCCCTATGGCGCGAAGCACCTGAGAATCCTAATCGTGGCAAGGATCCAAAGGCGAAGAAGGCAAAAGAACCTAAAGCAAAAGAGCCTAAAAGTTCTCCTAAACCCAAGCCTTCTAAAAAGAAGGCGCCAGAGCCAGCGTCGAGTGATGTAGAAAATTCCGACGATGATAGTGAAGAATAATTCGTGAGCTATAAAAATATCTTCCAAAGCTCTGCTCATTATATTTTTTGTTCCAGATTCGTGCGTCTGTGCCCGTAATCACTCAAAATCACTGTACCTATATTTCGTTAATTTTATTCCTAGTGTATGTCCTTACTTCAATTCTTTGGTCTTATGTGATTGAGATGTATGTATGCTACATTGTACATTTCCTATTATTCTTTAGACACGGACTGTTGGCAAGGCAGTTGTATGTACGCCATACCTTTGTCGACACGGATAATCTGACATCTTTCAGGAGGACAATGAAGACGTTGACTTGAGCCTGGACTTGGGTGATCGACTCGTTTGAATGCATTTTTATGAGCACGTGACCGACGCGATCGATCTCGGCGCGTCATATCTTCGTCATAGTAGTTGTTCCACCTGCGCCAAGCTGTCAAGTGAGAGAGGGGTATACGCTGATGACGATATCCGCAGGTCGTATATAAACCCTTCGTCGTTGAACTTGTACCGCCCAATCTTCTGCTCTCAAAAGATGGACAAAACAACCGCTGTAATCGCAGCCTTCGACGCTGGAAAACTACCAAACCAACATCAGGTTAACCAATATATAGATTGGTCGCTCAACAATGTCTTATCGACAGTAGACTCACCAGGCGCTGGAAAGCTCAGCGAGCCTGGCAAAATTCTTGCGAATGGCCTACGCAACGTTTTACAAGCATATAGGCAGCTTGGCTCGAATAAGAATGGTAAATCAGGCTTTAGTTTTCATTTGCGAACCCGCTAACCGTCGATCTTCAACCTCACAGGCGACAATCAGCTTCAGGAAGCACTCTGGCACCTCTCGGAGGGAGACTACTCCCACACTTCTATAGAAGCAATTGATACGGACGAAGCAACAGCAGATATCAAGAAACTTCGGGCTGCTATCCGCACTCTCATCCACATCTTATGGACGAATTCTAGCGGCGAGGGATCATTCGTTTTGAATGACTTTGCGTCTTTTGCTCGCCTTGCCTTCGCTGATCTCGCTGGAGTCATTGAAAGTCAGGCCGGTGCTGCTAAAGACAGCCTTCGAGAATTCGATTCGAAGGTGCAGCAAGGTGAGAGGGATAATTTGGGCAGGAAGAGAAAGTCACCGGAAGAGCAGGAGATAGATTCTGACCCAAAGGTCAAGTTTGAAAAAACTATGGATGTCACAAAACAAGTCGGATCTAAGGCCATTGGAGTCGGCCAAAATGTCAAGTCTTCGGCTGAAGACACGACTGAGAAAACTAGTGTGAGGTTGCGAGAAGCATACTTTAAGGTATGTACTTCACCAATCTGTCATTGATTTGATTCCAAACTTTCTTATTAGATCTGTGATCGCGCCCAGAGCGATGAAGCGTATCATAATGCCCTTGTAACCCTATTCGATACCTTCTCCAAGTGGATGAACAAATCCCTGGATACTGCCGCTGATGTCAATCAGTCGACCAACCTTGACACATTCATTGATGACCCAACCGAAGAGCAGCATATCCTACAAGCTATTCAAAATATTCGTACCTTGGTTGAACGTCTTGCAGACGGCAAATCACTCGACGACGTCTTATCCAAGATTCGTACATGTGCCGTAGACGTTAGGAGAGACGAGGATCTTAAATCTTGGTTTAATGAATTCTTTGCCTACGTCAGAGGCAGCCTCGAGAAGCCTGGATATGCTCGCTCCGAACAAGCTCATGAGGAATACAAATCCCTTACTCGTCGATGGAAAGAGCTTTTGAATCAGGAGTCCGAAGTCGGCCAGCAGTGGAAGCAGGATGTTCATGCTCTCAGACACGAGCTTCGTGACTTCCAGCACGCCATGGCCAAGGACGCTGACCTGCAACGTGTCAGAAAAGCGCATTCAAAGTTTGCGGATGAGGTCGAGCGTGGTATCGTCGCTGGAGGACAGATTGGATTCCAGTTCGCGGTGGACCAAGCTTCTTGGTTTTGGCAAGACATATTCAATGTTTATGCGCAAAGAATTCTGGGGATGCTCAAGGATATCCCAATACCCAGGTAAGGTCGTTCATCATCCTGCTATTGATGTTGTCTGAGTAAATGTGTCAGGACCGAATACGTCGACTCTGATGTTGAGTTCGTTTTGGAAAACTTGGATATCTCTTCCCTCAACGTTCTCCCGGGGCACGTGTATATTCGTAACATCACGGATATTGACATTTCTGCGCCAGAAAGTGGTGCCGCCTCCACAACCGCGATCGGTACATTAACACATATTCGTCTCCAGGCGATGCAGCTCGCCTTGAAGGAAGTTTCATTTTGGTACAAGGACAAGACCGCTACCATCGGACCAAGCGATTTCACAGGGCTCATGGAATTCACTCTTCCTTCTCAAGGTATCGACGTAGATCTAAAATTCCGATTGATTCCAAACACACCGCAAGGCCTTGAGGAGCGACAGCACGCAGGACGATACTTCAAGATCGAAAGAGTTGATGTTACTGTCTCTGAGGATGTAACTGTAGAAGTCAAGCAGTCCAACCATGCTATCCTCGCGTCTGTCTTCAAACCGGTCTTTGTTCTTCGATTCAGGGAAGCCCTGGAGAAAACGCTACAGGAACAGATTCGAGGGGTTTTCCAGACTGCTGATGCTCTTGCATGGGACGTTGGCAGACGCTCTGAGGTATTTAGTGATACAGGGCTAGGTCCTGGCGCTTCTCTTGCAGCTGCCATTTGGAGTGAGATAGGTAGATTCCGCAAGATGGAAGGAGGTGTTCTGGAAGGATGGAAAGCGACTGGAACGGGTGTAGTTAAGGATAACATTGGCAGTGACGCAAAGATTGCCATGGGCGCAGAGCCGCAGATACTATCTGGAGAAAAACACGGACCACTGGGAATTAGTTCGAAACCTCTCTCCGAACGATTACCGGGCATTGACACCAAGGGCATTAAGGAGTCTGGGAAGGGGTTGGCGGAGCAGGCGAAAGGCGCTCGAAAGGAAGGTTTACGGAAAGTGCAATCTTTCAAACAAACTGTGGATGCGAAGACTTCGCAGGAGAAAAGTCGACCTGGATGGCAGAGCTCAGCGTTTAGTTTGGATTAGAGTGCAAAACTATGTGTGTTTTGTGTTGTGTTTTGGACGGTATGCGTCGATTGTCAAATACGCAAGTCATACAATAGTCTCGGTTAGTTACACTGTATAATACAACAAAAAACTCTTTCGACTCCGGGAATGGTTTGCAGAGGATGAATATGATGAGTGACTTCAGTATGGTCTAGTCAAAATAATGTGAGCATCATTGTGAACAAGGTCTTAATCTCGTTTCCTCTTGACACCAGCGCCAAATTTGGTAGTGTTAGCTGCGCAAAGAGGGCCGCGTTCGAGGATTGAGTGTTCTGATGTGTCAAACTCGATCCCTAGGTCCTCCGTCAGAGAAGTAGCATCCTGAGGCGGTAATGCATCTGTAGCAAGCAGCCAGAAGCTAAAGAAAACGATTAGCGATAGACATTAGGTTATGAGGTTATGAGTTGGTGATTCATCGTTATCAAACGGATTCCTTGGCTTGGGGAAATGTTAGGCAAGGATAAGGGGATACATTACTGACTTGTTAAATATTTTGCGTCGGCGGACCCATTCTGCTCTCCATCTTACCCAGTCGCTATCAAGTTGTGTCAGTTCTTGCGGAGATATAAGGGGCGTGCCATCCCGGAGAGGCGCTAAACGTGTCAAAATTTGACCTTTCTTTGAAGAAACATGTTTGAGGTTTCTGATTGGAAGGCAAGCGAATGAAATGGGCTCGTACGTTCTGATTCACATTGGATATTTGTTCATCTAGTTCGTCATCCGTAGGGGTACTTTTAAGTCTGCTTAGCTCTTTTTGAAGTAGCATTGTTAGTATTTATATAGCTTGTGAAGGTTTGTATACGTACCGTTTGATGCAGACCTAACCTCTATGGCCAAAGTCTGATTGTCCTCCTCGGTCGCTTTGCATTCGATCTCTAGAGCCGCCAATTTCTCGGGAGGAACACTTTCTATGTGTGCTTGATTGGCTACAAAGAAGTTTGTTTTTCCTGAGGATAAGGACGTAGCAATCAATGGGCTTCATGTTAGAATAAAGATCAATCTGCATTACCATATGCTTTTTGAACTATCTCTCCCTTTTCCGCGAGAGTCACAAGAATCTTTTGTGTCGCTGTCTTCGGCACTGCACCTTTCAAGTTAGCTGATATATCTACGGCGCCAAATGGACGATTCATCTGTAGCGAAAGCATCAGCGAAGTGCATATATATGCGTGCTTTTCCTGCTGTTAACCCGTTTGATATACTGCAGCACTGCGTCCTCAGCTGAATGTGACAATAAGCGCCTACACAGTGTAGATATATGCGTCCAGCGTTTACCTTCCTGCCCTTTGAGTACCTTCACGTCGGGATTCTTTATCTTTGTGGACATTTTGGTCTGCTGGTCGTGGTAGGAGGATGGAGCGTTGAAGCCAGCTCAGGGTCAGAGACGCGTCCCACTGGGCCAGAATCACATGATTATCGTCACATGTGACTGTAACGGGTAAGAGTGCCGACGACGGAGCTTGAGCTTGAGTAATCTTATAACCATCTCCCTTGGACGCTGCACATGAGCGTTTTCAGTCTTTTCTTTGGATATTCATGAGTAACAGTGTCTCTGCAACGCGAGACAAGCGAAGCCTTGATTATGCCATTCGTTCTGGACTCGCTGGTGGTATTGCGGGATGTGTCGTGCGTATCATCTCCGGTGGGCGCCGAAATCACAGTACTCACCAGCACCATAGGCAAAGACAGCAGTTGCCCCTCTCGACAGAGTAAAGATTCTCTTCCAAGCCTCAAACCCAGAATTTCAGAAATATGCAGGTATGCGCCTGGTTACTGAATTATAAATCAAGTCTGTTGACGCAAACACCGTCAAGGAACTTGGAGCGGTGCATATAGAGCGGGACTCTCGATCTACAAAGAAGGAGGCCTACGAGGATTACTTCAAGGCCACTCAGCCACACTTCTGCGAATATTTCCGTACGCTGCCATAAAATTCATGGCATATGATCAATGGCGTCCAGTAAGTTGTTTCTAGTTCGTCTAGCATTTCACATGTAAACGTACTTTTCGATAGCTATTAATGCCTACGAAGGATCATGAAAATAACTATCGTCGTTTTGCCACAGGCGCACTTGCAGGTACTTCCCATTACAACAAGCAGTCTGAAACGACTCCTACTTACTGAGGTTGTAGGAATGACCTCTGTGGTATTCACCTACCCTCTTGAGCTGATACGCGTACGCATGGCATTCCAAAGTCGACAGCCAGACCATTCTCCTAATCCACAGCGGCCGTCCTTCTTACGTGCAATGTCACGCATATACTCTGAGAGTGCAATACCAACATCGCAACCATCAACATCTTCAGTATCCACCACTCCGAAACAGGTGTTCGAACGTCTCCCCATTCTCAAGTTTTATCGTGGCTTCTCCGTGACTATGATTGGTATGATCCCGTATGCTGGCACCGCATTCCTCACCTGGGATTTCCTTCGTGCCCATTTTTATCCTGCTACGCACGACAGGTCTCAGAGGCCTCCTCCAGTAGCAAACTTAGCCATCGGTGCTGTGTCTGGTGCTATCGCTCAGACAGTATCATATCCATTTGAAGTAGTGCGCCGCAGAATGCAAGTCGGCGGGCTTACGCGTCCCGACAGGTGGCTCCGATGGGGAGAAACTGTTGGTTCAGTATATGCTTCTGGTGGATGGCGAGGTTTCTTCGTTGGTCTTAGTATAGGCTACTTGAAGATTATACCAATGAATGCGATCAGCTTTGCGGTTTGGCAAAGTGGCAAGCGAGCACTGGGTGTTTAGAGGGCAGTGTCTTATGGTCTACCTGTGAATTATATGTTTCACCGTACTCTACCTGTGGGTAATAGATTTTTTCTAGATTTTTCGATTAGGAAAGAGTTGTGTGCATCAGAACGATCTGGGCGAAAGTGCTTTTGGTACAGTACAGCTTCGCGGGCGGTGCGTACTATGGCACTCACTGCTCTGACCTGTCCTCGAAGTGTGCAGAATCGCCCATGATCAACGGAAATATGATAGCACACTACAACTGGGAATGGAGTAGTGCAGGCCACCATAGTGTCTGCCAGTTCACCCTTGTTCACTGATGCAGGGATGCCAATATCGTTATTCAGGAAACTATCAAATACCGTGACAGTCGTGAGGAATTGTTGACATAGAATGATCATCATGGGGGCTGGAGCTGGTCAGTACCTGAATAACCGCCAAATCATTGACCTAGTGCATAGAAACAATAATAACAGTCGATCATCAGACAGTCCAACACTACTTTTTTTTTTCATCTTTCATCGTGATGTCACCCACTCATAGCCATCCTATTAGCCAATGCGCCCTGGACCATCAACTTTATGCCATGTGCACTCTGCTGTACCTTGCCTTGCTGCTAATAATAAAGCTTCCAGTCCTTGTACTTTGTGCAGTACGTTCATTTTACCCCTGGAAACGACCATACAAATTTGTAGTCCTGTGTATTTTAGCTGTCACGATCGTGATCGATCAATCGTTTAATTTTTTGTCAGTAATACATAATTGTCGGCCTTGTTCAACTCACCCGCTTCTATCAAGGTCGTGTGGCCCTGGTTCATACGATCATGTCATAATTGATACTGGCGTAAAACCGATATACGCAAACAGGATCACCGGAACTGCGCATGAAGCTATGAACAACAAGAGACGTAAGGTTCACTCCGCCGACACTGTCCTTCAGCGCTTCAGCCAGGGTTTCCGAATATGATAAGGTTGCAAATATAATACAATGAAAAGGTACTGTTAAAATAAAATTTGTTCCATGTTCTACAGCACTGGTAAGAGTAGAGAATACACGGTAAAGGAACAATACAGAATGCAAATGTCCTTGCGAGGATGGAGTGAATTACACAATGTAGCACAAAATAGAAGAAGCAGGAGAATGTATATAAATACAGGTGTTTTGTAGACATGTTATCATCGTGTTTCGTACTTCATTTGTTGTCACTGCCGGAGAAGAGGTCGTCCGAAAATAGTGAGATGTCAGCCACTCCCTCCTCTGGACCGAAAAGATATTCGAGGTCATCGAGATGTTTCGAGGGAAAGGATTTCTGTGTTTGTCCGCGATACCTGGTCTCGATACGGAGTGATGCAGTAGGGTGACCGGTATGAGGAGTGACTAAGCCCCCCCGTTCCATGCGGAGGGAGGACCTCTCGCCTTTGAATGCCTGCTTTGACTGAACATAAGCGTGAATAAGAGTTAAGAGAAAGCCTCCTGAAAATTAAGGTAAACAAAATGACTCACCCTGGTCTTTTCAAATCTTCGCAAGGCGGGCCGGGATCCGTGTTGTCTGAGAGCTGAGGTTGGACTTGTCCAGTAGTAGTTTGTTTACCCTCCGACTGCCGTCGCAAGGTTTTATATTCCCTTCCTATAACCATATCATTCACATGACTCTTTTTCCCTTCAGCCGCATTCGTAGCTTGCAGTATCTGAACGTTTCGCGCAGTCTCCATGAAAGAATCCATATAAGACGCCAGAGGCCTCATAGGTTTTTTGGGTGCTACTGGCACACTAATGTTCGATTCCTGACTTTCGGCACAAGTAGACTGGTTGGAGGATACACTTCGATTTGCTTTAGTTAAAGCACCGGCACGTTGTACTGGTATTTTCTCTACGGGCCATGAAACGTCTGCACTCTTAGCCTGTGGTTCGTGGACTCGAGGCTTCTGTTGGATCGAAGCATGAGAGGCGGCACTTGCGCGCGAACGCTCCTTGGTCGATATAGGCGCTATCGAAGCACTGGAATATCTGGCTCGTTTCCGTGGAGGGGGTTGCGAAAGGGCCTCAAGTTCTGCTTCGTTGAAGTAAGTGCTTGTAGACGCATATTTGGTGGTGGTTTCTGTTAGCTCGAGAGGTGGTCTGGAGGTCTGCAAGCCCTTCCCACTCGATGACTTCGTAGTATTCCTGTGGAGGGACAATGTCATAGATTACCTATAATGTTTCTCCGCTGGACTTACGAAGACTTGACCACAGGTTGAGTCTGCTCGTACGGAACAAAAACAAGAGGAGTGCGAGTTGAAATTTGGATAGTAACCTGAGGTCTGGGAACTTTGTGGGCCTTGGTAGTGCGAAGTATGTTATTGGCGAGACTGTGCGGCTGAGAGCTGCACCAAGTTGACATAGGGAGCTGTGGTTTGAAACTTGTGATTGGCTTTTGTTGAGAAGGGCCATAAGGTTGATACATTTTTGTGTCTTTATTTCTGTTTGACATCTGTACGGGGTCAGGAGTAGATTCCCCCAGCCGACCGATTCTAGACATCGGGGTCTCTTGGAACGAGGCAAACTGCAATGGTGGTACAGTTCCTCCACGCTGTAGCTCCAAAGTTCCGCCGGGCTCCCCATGAGATAAGACATTTGCGCGCATAAGGCGCTCAGCGCAAGACGTTTGGAACTGCTTCCCTTTCCTCGAACCTGATGGTCTTGCAAGTTTTGCATGAACAGGCGAAGAGCTCCAAGGTAGCACCGGATCTGAGCTTGGGTTTGCGCATATATATGCGTCGCATTCAGTGACACCAGAACTCTTGATATCCTTGGCTCGCTTTTTTCGCTTCCCATAACGCCTTGACGGCTTTTCTGTTGATAAACGGAGGAATCTTTCCACTGTGACTACGGTCTCTGAGTTTTCGACTTCGATTTTGGGTGCGCATTTCTTGTTGATTCGAGGGGCTTTTGTATATTCTACAACAATATCGTCTGAAGTATTGCGGATGGGACTTGACACCTCTTCATGGCCTAGAGTGACGATTTCAGGGATGAGGGAGCCTGAGATAACCATGTCCTTGCTCTCTTGAGTCTCAGAGGTGAAGAGAATGGACGTGTCGTTTGAAAAGTCCATTTCTTCATACTGCATCGATAGCGCTCTTTTGCGTTTCCTTCTCATCTGTAGGTAACATTGATATGTTCCTAGCTATGTATTAAAATAAGATACCACTTACTACAAATTCTTCGGGTAAGTCAGTCATGTTAGTAGTAGAGAATTGCAAAGTCACTGATTTGGAAAGTCAATAGTATAAGAGTTAAATTGAAGGAGTCCAAAGTGCATTCAAGTTAGTAAACGTGACGCGACCAGTGAATTAAACGCCGTAAGCGCGTTTCAGTCACGTGCATTCGAGCGCAACTTAAAGTTACGTCCCGCTTACTTCAGCAGCTCACGAGCTAGCAATACATAGACAACAGTAGTCTCGAGGCGCACATTCATCGTGTATAAATGTGTTTCTGGATGGCTTGGTTCGTCTCAGGGCCTTTGCCCAGTAGTACTACAGTGCATTTGTAAAGCCAGCACGATGACGAATCGGAATGATAAATTTCACAGTCAGCGTCGCTTACCTCAGCAGGCCATAGCCTAAAAAACAGAAAAACGACATGAGTCTTGCTTCAAGTGACCAGAGCGACGACGACGGTTGACATGCATCGCAAACGTTCTTCCTGTCTCTGATCCCCCGTTTCCTACGTGTTTCGGTATGATGGAGTAGCTTTGGTAGAAGGATCCTTGTCTTGAGTTCGGGCAACCTATATTACCGTGGGTTGTTCGTAATTTGACCAAAGGAACATCCAAATTCGTAGCCAATGTTATCATCGTTGTGTACAGTAAAATAAAATGCTCACATGCAACCTACCTTCTCACTGGCTTTTACGAGTGTGATACACCAGAGGATTTGTGTTGAAGGATATGTTTTTACAACGATATGGGGAAATCTTCAAATTATTTGGTTGCGATTCGGGAAGCTCTTTCTTGCAAGGCCTTGACTCGGAGTGGCGAAGGTATGTCTATATATCACTTGGAATGACCTTTGCACTAATCTTGACTTTGACCATGTAGCGCAGATATAGGATGCCGCATCATTCAGAGCTCTGAAATTTGTCTGCTATGTCCATTCACCGTCTTCATAAGGCCTATTCTTCACAGTGCCAGGCCCTGAATGCTTTCCTGATATTTCGACCTGATGGGCAGTTCAACTATCGTGGTAGGCGTTCACATATTTTGCGTGTGTAGGTTTGCTCCCGATCTTCACCGCGCCACCTATTCACAGGTGTTCTTATAAGTCTACATGGTGAGACTTGCTGTCGTTATGTTAGGTCTTAGCATCCTTTCAGATGGAATCCTTACTACCCCCCCTTTGAGGGGAGGGTGAAAACTCGGCTGAGCAGATCACTCAACATGTTACACCACCCAGTCCACTCGACGTATTTACGGCCACGCGGCCAGCCTCGCCAGTCAGTTTCGCTGGCTGATCCATCTTTAACCTTTGTATCGAATATTAGGTCTTCGTCTATGATGTACCACTTCTTTGTCCTTCGGTCAGTAAGGAATAAAAGTAGCCATGCTAGTTCATGAAGCAAGTCACTACACCACGATACCGTCTGGACTTGAATATGCTGTCATTCTGAGAAGCACGCTCCATATGTCGGAAAAATCCATTTTCCCATACAAGGTCTAGAATGGCCACTTCAGGTCGTTAGATTTTAGGTAGCCTTAAAAGAATCAAAACGTTGCAACAATGCCTTGTAAGTCATGATCGAAATTACGCCCTAGTAAGATCAACCATCATTAGATACCTAGTCTCATTTATGAGACCATATATGACATGTGCGACAGACCACTCAAACCAGTCCAATCAGCGCAACCAGTGCAACCAGCGTGACCAGTATGACCAGCGCGACCAGCACAACCAGGCAGATAGCAACAGGCCAGACAGGCTTGGTCTAGCAGTTTCCTTGTTAGTGCTGATAATTCATCTCAGCCGGATCATGGCTAATGTTATCTCGATCATGACTGAAGTGCCATCATTAGTATCTTTACAGTTTGGCTGACTCGGATATCCCCAAATCACACAAACGAAAGGCATGGAAATTAAGTAAAAAAGTCAGGTTATATTTATCAATCAGGAGGACACTACAAGTATACAACTACAACTGTAAGGTAACAGCAAAAATGTAGAAGCACTTAGTTAAAACAAAAATCAATTTGTGACAATTGTCGTCAAAAATGACTTGTTCCTCGTGAGTTCTGGTCCTGACAGAAATCTGGAAATCGAGGCATGTGAATGTGAGGTAATGAAAAGAGAAACAAAATGCTTACCATAATAATATTGATACCACAAGCGCGAAGGCAGCCCCAGTTGTTGATGACCAAATGACACTACAAGCAAGATCCTGTCAATTGAAATGTGTGAAATCAAATCCAAATGTCTACAGTATTGATGATTGATATTACTCACTGCATTGAGTACAAGAAGGGTTGGATGGCTGGGACTTGGAGTGGTATTCATTGATGTGGTAGAGTCTTCTCAATGAGTTCTGTAGTTGACTGAGGAGGAGATGGAGATAATACAGCAACACGATGGCAACAACGGACCTTTATAAATGCAATGTAGTGGCGTGTGGATTAATCAACGTCACATTACTAGAGCATACTTGAATCTAATTTATTGCCGAAACTCACTGTATCCACATTTCTCGTCGACTCCTACCTACAAGATGAAAAGAGAAAACTCAGTCATTGTTATCAGCGACACGGAGTCAGAATGTCAGGCAACAAATACAAAGCTATATAACAAAGCTCAATGTCTGGTCAAGTCCTTCCTTGAAGGCGGTGAATCAGAGTATGAGAATGAAGAGTATCGGTAAGAGCGCAAATCCAAACTAATATTGAACTAGAGAACAATACATCGAGTATATACTTCTCTATATAGTGAACGGCGATGGTCAGACCGAGAAAGGGAACTACTGAGAAAGTGGTCTGACCAGCTAACTAACCAATAAGAAAAAAGGGAGGAAGTGGTCCGATCTATCGTGTTTACTAATCGTATGAGAAGACGTATTGGTAAGGGATATGCAATTGGCTGTATCAGTAAGCCCATGAGAAGGCGCTGATTCACTACCTTCTTCGCTTATCAATATTCCTCCGAAGTATTCCCAGACATAGCACTGGATCATGGCTATGTCATCTGGATATCTTCTTGAGGGTCGACAACGAGTCTACCTCGTTGTAGGTACGATATAACGTGAGTGTGAAGAGAGAATAAGAAGAAAAATGATAAAAGTAATAAGACACCGGCTGTAATCTCTAGTCCAAGAGCAAGAGGAGTGATGGGGATCGAATCTGCTAACCACGACATGACGGGAATGCGATAAGAAAAATCGATTCCTGACATTAGCTCCCCTTTTATAAGACTCGTGTCCTCATGAGTCCGGATGCGGCACTTTGGAACTTGTTACTAATCCAATCAAAAAGCATCGGCGGTTTAGAAGTGGCGGTGTAGTTTTCGTAAGGACGGAAGTGAAGAGAAGCGGTAATAATACGAGGGGCGGCGGGATTTGTTTTGTGGAAGGTGGCGAGTAAATCAGCGACATGCGTAAGATTGGTGTCGGGTTCCCAAGTGCGTTCAGAGACTGGATAACCATGCCAGTGAATTAGGTAGTCGAGCTTACTACCTTTCAGTTTAGTCGGTCTGGAAGCGATTATACTCTCTACTTCGTATTCGTCTATTCCTTCCACAATCTCGGGTGGTGGTCGCGAGGAAATTGGTTGATTGAGGAATTCGGGAGCGTGGTATGGTGAGAGGATGGCTTCGTTGAATACGGGGTGAATGGACTTCCAACTTTTAGGGATGTCGAGCTGATATGCGGAGGGTCCGACCTTTTGGGTGACTTTGAAAGGTCCGAAGCGTTTATCGTCTAATTTCTTCATTGGTCTATCCGTTGTGATGTTATGCCCTTCTAACCAGACTTTGTCGCCAGCTTGGTACTCCCGGGAGGGGGATTTCTTACGGTCGTAATACTTCTTCAGATTCTCGTTTGCTACAAGAAGGGAGGATTTCGTGATATCGTGGAGTTTTTTCATTTGTTCGCTAAATTCTGCTGCCGAAGCGGAGCGAGGGGACAACGTGGTGGTGATATTCGTTCTTGGGTGTAACCCATAGTTCAAAAAGAAGGGCGTTTGATTCGTTGCAGTATGGAGGTGGTTGTTGTATGTAAACTCAGCAATGGAGAGCCAGTCTGCCCAGTCATCTTGTCGATGATTTATAAAAACGCGGAGGTAGTGCTCTAGATCCTGGTTGATCCGTTCGGATTGTCCGTCTGTTTGAGGGTGATAGCCTGTAGAGAGGCCTGGTGTTATCCCCATTAGGTCGTAGAAGTCTTTTGTGAATCGAGACATGAATTGAGGACCTCGATCGGAGACGATCTTTTCAGGAATTCCGTGGAGTCGTATTACATTATCTCGGAGTTGACGTGCATAACCGGCCGAGTCAAGAGTGACGAAGGTGGGGACGAAATGGGCCATTTTACTAAATCGGTCAACAAAGACCTGAACGGCGGTGTAGCCCTTGGATTCCGGTAATGCGCCTATGAGATCGGTGGTGATAATCTGCCAAGGCCGATCTGGTATCGGGTTCGGGTGTAGAGGGGCGTTAGTCTTTGTCCGATGTGCCTTGGTGCGTTGACAACTCTCGCATCCTCGTACATACCGTCTGATATCTGTACGAAGACTTGGCCACCAGAGCTCTCGGTTTACTCGTTCAAACATCGTTCTTTCTCCTGGGTGCCCGGCTAGGGCTTCGTCGTGATGATCTTTCAATATTCGCGCCCTTAGTTCGTGATTTCGGGGAACGTATACTCGGTCAGCTAAAGGGATCGGGTAGGAATTTGTCGCGGACTCTCTCTTGATCCAGACGATCCTATCCTTCATCTTCCAGGTATCCGGCTTCTCTCTCAAGTTCTTCTTTACTACGTCGTCTTGTTTCTGGAAGCTTTGACGTATATCTGGTAGGTATCCTTCGTTGGTGTCAAGTAATTCGAAATGTACGTCTGGGAGAAGTATCTGATCCTCGTTATCGTTTGTGCCTTTAGGATGATCGATCCGTCTGCTTAACAGGTCGGCCTTCGTATTCTGATTTCCTTTGACGTGTTCCATCTTAAAATTATAATCTGCAAGCTGGGATGACCATCGAGCTTGGCGTCGATTGTATTTCTGAGGTTGACGGAAGTAGAGGAGGTTTTGGTGATCTGTGAAGATGGTGAAGGGGTGTTTCGATCCTACAAGGTGATGTCACCATTCATCTAACGCCGTCATGACTGCGAGCATCTCTTTGTCGTAAATTTCATAGTTCCGTTCTGCAGCGGTAAGGGCTTTCGAGAGGAATGCTATGGGTCTGAATTTGTCGTTTTGTTTCTGGGATAGGACGGCTCCTACAGCGA